AGGACAAAGTCCTTGTGTTTGAAAAGCCATTTGGTCAATAACTTATTTAATCATATCATCAGTCATATATCAATCAGTCATATGTTTATCTATGCATAATGCATCATATATGCAAGGGTGTGATGTCTTTGTATATGTGTGTGGTTGGGTTCATGGGTGTGTGTGTGTGTGTGTGTGTGTGTGTGTGTGTGTGTGTTTGCCTATGTGTGAACAGAAACTGCATCAACCCATCAACCAAAAGAGACGTCTCAGCACTTTTTCCGAGTTTGAAATTTGTGACCGTCAAGAAAAAGCCTCAGTCTGGTTCCAGTTGATCCTGTCCGACTCTGTGTGAGCAATATTCCAGCTTGTTTCCAGCGTGTGGCTGCTCATATTTGGATAATTTGAGTCGGAGAAGGGAGAAAACAAGTGTCTCTGTGTTGACCTCCCTCGTCCACTCTGAGAGGTCTTTCAGGGCAGCCTGTGTAATGCTCCTCATTGCAAGTCAAGTCTGAACTCACAGAGACTGTAAATGAGCTGAAACCAGTGACTACAACCAGTGACCCAATGGTTTGGGTGTGTCGACAAAGAAACAGATGAACACACACACACACAAATAAAGAACAAGCTATTTCAAGTGAACATGACTTAGCACAACTCAAGTTAACTCATAAAATAAACAAACCTAATTCTTAATTTTTGAGGGGAACAAAAGGGTTATTCATGGTCAAACTAACATGTTATATTGTATAAACTGGTGAGTAACAGGACATCACAGCCAATTAAAATGTTGAATGTTAAAATATTATTGATTTTGTGAGTCAGCTCTACTCCACACAATCTCTTTACGACCCAGACTGTGAAAACACACTACCTGTCTGTTTCTCCTTGTGCACTTTAATATATAGTTAGCCCAACACATAAAGCCAATACACTCAACACTTTTAACAACCTCAGTGCAATTTCAGGGCAATGACACCATAACATACTGGAGGGGTTTTTCCTGCTGCCACAAACAGAACAAAAGACTGGTTCATTTCTTTAAACTCCATGGGGCAGGATTTCTTTACGCTTTGTGGTGAGTAACAGTATATAGTATATTATATAGTATATAGTGAGTGAAGTATCAGTAACCAAACAGTGATAAATCTGAAGCCATTACTATGTTGAGAGCTTATTTTTCAACTAACAAATCCAAAAATCTAAAGCACTACCAGTGGTCCCTGGAGGCTGGAATGTTGCTTAAACCTACAAAAGTAACACGGATAACTGCGCATACTGATGAATTGGTTATTCCCAGAGCCTCATGAGGAGTTAGGTTTGTTCTGTGGGTGGTGGAAGGCCATGGGATAATTAGAGCCAAAAGGGTTTATCCTCTGGGGAACAGATAAAGTACATTTCATGGCAACCTGCTCTTTAGTTTTTGTTATTTTTTGTGTACAAGAAGAAACTGTGCCGTACTGGTGTTGCGAAGAAAACAGGTAAAGGGCTCACAAAAAAATCCATAAGGGTTCATCACCTGCAGATCTGAAATGCAAATCTCATGTAAGTCCTATTGCCTATTCCAGATTTTGATGGCTCTCTGAGCAGCAGCTGTCTTCCTTTGTCCTGTGTCACTTCCTGCACTGTGAGAAGTCCCACAAGTGATGCTACCTATAAAAACATACATGTGCAAACCCATGAAGCTTTTGAAAATGTAAAGGTTTGCTTTCTCACTTTGTGATTCAGGCCAGTCATAGCAGTGTGTTCGTAGATAGAAAGGTGAATAGTGTAGGTTTATATGTATGTTTTAATGATTTCAAGACGTAAGTAGAGCTGTAGAGCAAATTGTCCACATCGTGTTCAACAGCAGTTGGACTGAAAGGTCTTAGTTTTATGAAGTTGAGATGACAGTCGACTGAAAAGTCTGTGGCGTCATAGTTTACCTCAGTCGGAATCAGTTTTGGTAAAGATGGATAACTCTCCTTGTTTCAGAGAAATGTGAGAACATAGTTCTTCCACTAAGAGTAAAGTGGAAAAAATTACTATGGTCTTGTAGAAGGAGCTGGCATACTTTTCCTTTATCTGACATTCAGTTTTCTTGTAAAGGAGCAGCTGTAGGGTTTGGCTACCAACGGTTTTAGCTGCTTCACCTTGAGAGAGACAAATTCATTCCCACAAATCAAGACAAGCTTGTCTGAGCAACAGCAACTGTGAACTACTTTGTGGTTATTAATGGATTTTCTATGTAACAAAACTATGAATGTCACACATTTCTCTCATACAGAGTGCTTCGCTCATTGGTAAATGAGCTAAATGAGTTTTGACTTATGATACAGTTTTTAAAGTTCCTAACTGCTTACCATCTTTTATAAAAACTACACATTTCTGGGGCTTTTGGTCTAAAGATTTGAGAAGCTTTCTTATGACTTGCAAAGCCATTTGGAATCCCTGAGACTGCTGGGAAACACTTCTTTCCGTTCAGCAACTCCTGCTGAAGTACCTTTGCTCAACAGCTATCCAGTGGAGCTTTGCTCTGCTGCCAACATCAGAAAACTGTGGTTGTAGAGGCCACATAACTATGAATGTGCAACAGAATGTCGATAAAGAAGGGCATGTGTCACCAGGCAAACCTTCCCTGTGTAAAAAAAGCTGCAGCATAAACCTATAAAATAGATGTTTGGAGGCGGCGTGGTATAAAAATGTCCTGGTGTCTAAGTTTCTGTGCTGCTCTTTGAGATATGTTACCCAGCAACAGCTGATTGACATGAATGATGGTGAGTAAACCTGGTGTTTCTATTTCATCCGTGTGCAGCTGCTGAATAAACAGTGAGTTTGCAAATAAGCACAAAATTAGAGTAAATCGGCTGTTAATACATTTCCCTTTGAAGATGTAGACGGCGAGTGTGCGTCAGTGAGTGCACGGAGCACACAGCCAGTATTTACACCTTTGAATAGAGTTTGGTGGGAGACGAACAGGAGACATGCCTCTCCTCAACCTCAGGCCAACATTAGCATGTTTAACTTTAAACTGAATGCACACAGACGCGAGCGGCAGACACATGTGGGAGTATATACGGTCGCTCAACTGGGCACACACACGCATGCAAACACGTGTTCACACAAACATACCTCATGATTTTGGCCTTTTAATCAGCTGCTTTACAAACACACCTACTCACACAATTACAGAAACTGTCAACACATATTTCATGTTCTCTTATATAATTGGACAGATTTGCAGCTGTTTTTTTTTTCCAATTTTATTTGGCATTAAATCGCTTTTATATAGCACCTCATGTCTTTACCATAGTGCTGACAATCTATAAATATTTCAACATGATGGAGTGGGACATTAATGGGGGAAAACTGCCTTTGTTTTATGAGTGGATACCTGTAATGTTATCTACAGCGTCAAGCTATCACAGCAGAGGATGCAGGGTTATTTATGTTTCCAGCCGAGCAGAGAAACTGCCCAGAATCAGTTAATCAAACCCATTTATTTTGCCAAGTATAAAATGAAGGCACTACACCTTGTTTTGGTAGCATTGATGCAAGTTAGCCAAGCAACGAGCAGGACGTGTTGCACCACAGCCATGGAAAAATACTTGTGTCTGTAGTACGTGGATGTAGTATGAGGCAGATAAAACGCCACCAGAGGAGGCAGAAAACACAACTTCAGGTTCTTCATTTTTGTCTTCTCTGTTATTTACGATATTTTATCCTGTAGAGTACAAGAATTACAAAAACCTTACATGCACTGAGGGGAGACATGGCAGACTGATCCATATTCATTTCCTATTTGCTCTCAGGCAGAATGATCTGAAATATAAACTTTCTTCTCATCAGTAACACACTGTAGATTGTAGTCTAGGATTAAAACCGAGTAATTGTCCACTGCCACGCTGGCTCTTCTGTCGGGCTGTGCATAGACGCAGCAGTGCTACAATCGTTCTCACAATGACAATGTAAAGATGCTGCTTTTTAGGATGTAATTTTTTACAATGCGTGCCACTTTAGTGTATCATGTTAGCATGAACATGTAGAATATTTGCTAGTTAGCACTAAATGTGTGAATGTCACTAGTTTTGCAGGTATGGGACAAACTGGTATTCAGACTGGTGCAAGATGATCACCAGGTTATCACAGTTCATGCAGTGGAGAATGAATGAATGCCTGTACCATCGTCTGTATACATCGTGGCAATCCTTCCAGTAGTCATGACGACATTTAACTCTACCATATGGTTTTTCTCATCCCTGGAGCTACACCTCTAGCATGGCTAATAAAAAATGACACTTTGTGAGTTCTTGATGATCTGCCTCCACCACCAACTGTCATCTATGAGCACATATGACTTTCAGTCCTCTATAACTAGACCTTAAAGACTAGTGAGGGAGCCTTTTGTGCTTAAGACTGAAGGACAGCATATTCCATTAACCAGTGGTAGTAATGAGTGTGCTGATGAATCACCTCAGTGACCCCTGTGTGTGGACGTGTTGAGAATAAACACCTCCACAGTAACTTGGAAGTTTCCCCCCTGATTGTATAATTTCATAAAACCAAGTTTGATTTGTTTTACTGATGCTAAACCATAACTAAATTACATTTGTCAGTTTATTTTAAAAATGCCCATCTACCCATGAAAGTTTTTAAACTACATTTCTCTACAGCTTTTATATTTTACATCCTCTGCTCTGTGTGTACAGCAGCATGAACCTCCATTCAAACCAATTTGGCAAATAACTGCAGAAACAATGGGATAATTTGAGCCTTTCTTCAGCTCCAGGATTCGTCTGATTCTGAGTTTCAGCTTTAATATTCAAGGCTGTTTGTATGGCCTCACCAACTGGCAGGAGAGGACCACATCTCTCTCTCTCTCTCTCTCTCTCTCTCTCTCTCTCTCTCTCTGTCTCGCTCTCTCTCTCTCTCTCTCGCGCTTCCTTTCCCTCCCTCTCGCCTTCCAGCATCTAAATGTGTGGTAGAGTTTGAATAAAGCTTCTTTCTGCTCTCCTACACAGGCAGGAGCGAGAGGGCCCTGGAGTCGCTGGCACTGGGAGCTTTGGAGCATCAACGGTACGTTTTCAACTCACCACCGGAGTCCCTGACAAGGAATACTGTGAAGGGGGGTTTTAGGGGATACTCTGGTTCTTCTTCATCCTCTGCTTGGGGAACAGGTATTGATTCAGTTACTCAGATGTCAAACCAAAGGTAACTTCTGGAAATTTCTTTCTCAATATCAAGCAGTTCTGTTCTCTGGGAAGTTAACTGTTACTAACTAATAGAACTAAAATTTGATGTAACATTTGATAAAATGTGATTTGTTAACTTTAAGTCAGCTTTTGTGGTCATTATTTTGTGGAAGTTTATTCTCTGGAAATCTATCTATGTTTTTTGAGCTTTGGTGAATTGACCTCGGTGAGGTATTGAAGGAATCACCTTCTGTTTACAACAAAGTAGGTGGTGATGTTTGATTTGTTTCTTCAATTTCACAACACTTTATAACTTTGATGTGAAAAGTATATATCCATGGTGATTTCAAATGTGCAGTATAATATGGCTAAATTAGGAGTTTTAAGAGCAGGAAATTGTTAAACTTTTATGTGGAATATGGAAATGAATCATTTATATGGTCAGTTTGGATTCTGGATGGTTTCTCTGGATGGAGGGTAGCTTGTATGAAGCTGTATCATGTTACTAATGTATCAAATTTACTCAGTGTCTGAATTTCTCATGTTTTTGTATGAGATTGCTGATGAGCATTAAGTTGCCCCTTTCTCAATGATTTGGCAATTTTTCATATTTATTGATCATCTAGACAAAATGGTTCAATGGTTCATGAGGTAATTTCTACTCACGGCCGCTTGTTTCAGTTCAGACCTTTTTAACCAACAAACAGTGAGTTTTGCTTGTTTTATAATAATTTTGAGAGACATGGAAAGTTGAATTATCCAGCAATTAAAAAAAAGAAAATAACAGCAAAGGTTTGAGGAAACTTTGAGAAATGACAGTTTTTTTCTGCTTTCCATTCTTGTAATCATCTCATGACCCCCAGATTTATCTTGCGACCCCTTGTGGGGATCCAACACTGACGTAGACCCCGGGCAACATGTGCATTAGCGCTTCCTCACAGGTGACTTTATGACTGAGCGGAGCATGATAACAGCTCTGTATATGTGAGGCACTGCAGTCTCAGTGTTGAGCCGTAGAGATGAATCAGTCACTGTCACACAAGCTCCAACTTATATTGTTTCCATGTTGGAGTTGGATCCTAAGTTCTTGGAGATCATAATGGAAAAAACAGGAAATATTTTATTTTCCTTTTGAATATAAATTATGAGTGGAGCAGCTGAGCAGCACAAAACAGTGTTTGATTTATGGGGAAAACAATGCTATATAGGAAACTACTATCAAAGAGTGACATCCCGTTACTATGGTAACATCAGGCTGTGTGAGGGCATGTTGTGAATTATAATTCTCAGGTGTCGGAAATGAAAAAACAATTGACAGTGGGCTCAGTTAAAGCAAATATCTTCACACTTTTTGAATATCATTTAGAATAAACCCACATTTGAAGTTTGTCTCAGCCATCATCAGTGAGTGTGTGTCTACTGGTGTGTGTGTTTAATTACATTTAAGTGGCTAATGTGCACATGCTCCTCAAGGATGTCTTTGGTCTTACACTGCTGAGTATGAGGACATGTACTAATGCACCCATAAGCACCTGTGAATATGATTTTTCCCCTCCACCCATCAGACTGTACAAGAGTCTGTGTGTGTTCTCAGACACAGGCCTTACAGTGTGTGTCAATACTGACATATGTACACACGCTCTTTCTTTACCAAGGCCATCGGACGTGCGCTCCCACACATCCCCTCCATGATCTATAAGTGTCGGTCTGTGTTTCTGTGTGTGTATCTATCAATGTTGACTCTGTTCTGCTGCTGAGTGACTCTGGAGGGTTGGAGGAGAGTGGGTGGAGGGGTGGGGGTCGGTGGGGGGGTGGTTAAGGTGGTGAGTCCTCTCCTGGATGCCCGCCTTGTGTTTACCTTGGGCAGGGGTTTTGCAACCCTACTCACCCCCCCCCCCCCCATCCCCAAGACCCTGCCCCTGTCCGTTACTGGAACAGACCGAGGCCTTATTGAGCTCCACCTCAGCTGGGAGCGGAACATACCACAGCAGCCGAAAAGGGCAGCAGCAGCCATCCTACCGACTGAATGGGAACACTGTGGAGGGCTGATTGGCTTGACCTGCCCTGGCGTGGCTTGCTCACGAATGCTGGTGCACATTATGAAGTGGCCACAGTTTAAATGATGCATTAAAGAGAGCCGGGGATCTGCTCAATGATCGGATAGAAAGCAATGAGAAAGTTTTGGTTGGCTCGGTGAGGGAAATGGGGGAAGGTTTTTGCTGGCGTTTTCTGTGTTCATGCATTGTGAGAGTATGAGTAGAGTTTGATTGCTGGCTGGTCATTGCTGTCTTTATCCATTTCTGGGAGGCCCACCTTGACTGTGAGAATATATTAGTAAGTGCTTTTAGGGAAAAGCACAGGAGGAAAAATGAATCACCTTGCCCATTATCACACGAACATACAAGAAAAATACACATGGAAACATTTGAACATTTACTGCAGGATGAGTAACTTAATAGGCTGAAAAGCAGCGTTTCACTGCATTTTCTGGTTGAAAGCTTCAAGTCTGTTGTACCTCTGACCACACCCAGCATCAGTCATGCCTAATAAACTTCATACCTCGTTTTTGTGTAGGTCAGCTGGTGTTAAGTTGCTTTTTAATGAAAATAAACCTAATACCTTGCTTTAGTAAGCCAGCTGGTGTTAAGTTGCTCTTTAATCGAGATAAACGTCATACCTTGTTTTTGTAGGACATGCATTGTATTATCCGATTGTTAATCCGATGGATGAGAGACTCAATAAAGATCGTGTGACATTATCACATGATAGCTTTCGCACAGCTGCAATAGAGTTTCATTTCTGCACAAAGAAAGAAAGAAAAAAAGAAAAATCATATCGCAAAGGCCTTGTTCTTGACTTGGCATTTTTCGCGTTTCAACTTTCAACAATCATCCAAAAAGAAATCGACGTCCATCATTGAAGATGCAGAGATAGCAATATCTCCACTGGCAGTAGCCAAAAGAAAATCCACTAAGCACACCCACAAGCAATGCTCTTAAAGGAGAAGTTCATGAGAGGCTGTTCGAAAGTAGTTTGTAAAAACAGAAATGTGGTAATAATCCAGAATAAGACAAATAATGTTTGAAAAACCCCAAAAATCCAGGTGTTATCATGGAAAAGTCAGGAATAACTGACATTTTGAGATTAAACCAGAAAAGTCAGAAAAGGCCAAAAGTCAGGAATCTCTCCCAAAAGTGAAGAATGTCAAAAATAACAAATGAGTTACAACCTGTCATGACTGAACATCACATAGATAATGAACAGTATGTGATTATTCCAGGGTGGGTTAGGGTCTACACATACTGTGTGGTATTTTGTGTTTTCCGCCCAAACTCGGCCAACAGTCACTCTCAGGTAGATATTAGACAGCAGGGCAAATATTAGTGCTACTGTAATGTGTGTGGAACTCTGAGAATGCTAGCAGCCCACACACACACACACACATACACACAGACACACAGACACACACACACGCACATACACACACACACACACACACACACACACACACACACACACACACACAGACACACACACACACACACACACACACACACACAGACACACAGACACACACACACACAGACACAGACACACAGACACACACACATAAACACACACACATAAACACACACACATGAATGGGTCAACACAAAGTTATCATGCATTTCTACAGTGTTTCTACATGTGGATATCAGCTTGGACCTGTAGTATTAGCTTATCAGTCATCTTTGAATTGCACTAACCTGTATGAAAAATACAAATAGAGTTTGATTGACTGATTGATTGGTTGATTGATTGATGTCTGTTAAATACAATATACAGTACATAATGGTGTTTTTTAATGCTGAACTTAAAGGTTCACTGCTTTCCTCCTTTGGCCTTTTACCACCAGACTGCCAACCTCAGTTCAGCCACTCCAAACGCTTGGTGACCGTGAGCTCTAGGTTTATAGGCTGTAAATGTCTCACTGTGACTGTTGGGAATTAACTGGGAGCTTTTTTCTGCAGCCTGGGTCTTGTGAATGCAGCACAATGAAGGTTCAGTTCGGACTGGCATGTTTGAATGGTCTGTACGTCACAGCAGTGGAAAGTTGAGGGAAAATAAGCAATGTAGAAATCAGGTTTTGACAGATGCGGGTTTGTGATATTGAAACACGTGTCTGGACTGAAGTTGCCAGTTGATGATCATGAATTAGAGAAGAAAAAACATTTGACTTGTTATCCAAAAATAGAAGAAGAAAAAAATCAATTATCATGATAATGGAGAGAAACTCTAGACACTAGAGACATATGAGCTATATATAGGAGCTATATATATTTGGTGTGAGCAAACACATCAGAAGCTCTGTGATGCTGTACTTAGGCACAGCACTGCTTTGAGCTAAATGCTAATGTCTTCATCCTATCATCCTCACAATGGCAATGCTAACATGCTGATGTTTTGCAGGTGTAGTGTTTACCATTTTGACCATCTTAGTTTAGTAATTTGCTAATTTGCCCTAAACATAAAGCAGAGATGTGGCTGATGGGAATGTCAACAGTTTTGCAGGTACTTGGTCATAAACTTAAGTACTGTAAGTAATTTCGACTTCATTACACTGCTAAAAGAAAAGTAAGGGGATCACCAAAGTCAGTAGGATTCATACTCTGGGCACCATGGATATCTGTACTTAAAAGTTTTGCTAATGCTACATAGCCAGCGTTAGCATTATCAGCTGTTTACTTACCAGTCTAGAGGAAACTTTAGCATCAAACTTTATTCCTTTACTCACCAGAGCTGTCTCCAGCAGTGGAAAGCAACGCAATGTAAACTATTGTCTCCATCATGGCTTTTCTTCTACTGAATTTAGCATGCTAACCAGCTAGCCCCGGCCGGTCTCATCACTTTCTGATAGCGTCTCACTGTAGCCTCTGATCTGCCCTGTAGACCTTGCGCTGCTCAGAAGGCGTATAATAACCTTTTGTCTTGTAAACGCAACGATAGCCGAAACTCTAGTCAATCACCACTGTCTGCTCCCAGCAAGAAACCACATTAGGCAGCAGAGAAAACTGACAAAAAGGCCCTTGAATTTTATAGTTGTGAAAATATTTTAGTGTGGCAGACTGACAGACCAACATAAATAGAGCCACTCAGCTAACATGTCTAAAGAAGGACAAAGGCATTTAAACTTCATAGAGGTTTTACTATTTTTGGAAAGGATCCTCAATCACATTCACCATGGATTACACAGACATTACAAGTATGCTGTATTCATGCAGACAAAGAGACAAGGACACGCACTGTGCACACTCAAATGAGCACACACACACGCTGGGGAAAAAAGTCTTACTTCAACTTGCATTTCTCTTAATGGAAAAGAGTTTGAGCTGAATGAATCATACTTCTCCCTTTCTCTGCCTGAACTTATTTTAGCACTAAAGACATTTCCTGTGAACAGAAACAGAGGGGGCTTTCTTTCCCACGCGAGCATGTATGGTATTTCCAAATGATACCAGAGGCTCTTGATGTCCTGTTTCCATTTTAGCTAATGAGGTTGACGTAATAAGTAAATGCTCTGTATATCCCAGATAACATGGCATATGAATATAGGTGTACAGGATTTAGGAAAAAACACAGTGGCATACAGAGGTGGAGGAAATTATAATAAATAAAACTAACCTCATTCATTCAAACACTTACTTCACTGTTCATTTCTGGTAAAGAGAAGTTAGAAAGTTTGTATAGTTTTACACAACTTCTTTACACTTACTGTGTACACTTTGACTGTGTTAATTTTAGCCAACTTGTGATCACTAAAAGGCCAAACATGAAATAGCTTTCAGTAGCTTTAAGCTCTGCCTGTTCCTTTTGTCATTAATTATTTTGTCAAATTCAAACGTGATTCCATTGTTGTGTATTTTCCAGGTAACGATGACCCCCTTCCTTCTGCTGTGTGTGTCTTTGCCCCTCATCTCGGCAACAATATCATTTGACGATCACGATGGTGAGTTTGGTGAGAAATTACACGAGCACTTGTTGCATTTCATTGTCTAAAATGGAGTCTTTCCTTCATCATCAGTTTGTGAAAATTAACAACCCTTTGGAAACTTAAGTATTTGAAGAAAATGAGAAACTCATATTAAGCTGTATCGTACCCATATCCATCAGTCCTGTCATTTTTGTCTTGTGTAACCTACTATCTGATTAAAAGTAATTAAATATGCAGGTGATGTATGGGCCAAATCAGCCTTTTTTGCACCTTTGTCTCATCTGAGCTTTTTTCTATCCCCCCAAAAAGTGGCAAAGCAGTGTAACATAGGACGAAGTAGGCCTCTGGAATAAATGTTTTTGGGGCGACTGTTGCTAGGTAGGGTTGGTGGACCAATTCTTAACAATAATAATAATAATAAATTTAATTATCCAGCACCTTTAACAACAGAGTTTACAAAGTGCTTTGCAATTGAAGCAAAAGCAATAAAAGGGAAGAGGCTCAGAAGACATTATAAAAACAGAAAGCCAGATAGGAATGCCAACCAAAGCAAAAGCAGGACAGAAATAAGATAAAGTTAAAGAGGGAAGACACACAATATACTTCAATATAAATAAGGACAATCAGAGAGAGTAGGTGCCGTGCAAAAGCAATAGAAGCACTCACAATAAAAGTAATAGAAGGATGATAAAGGGACAATTAAAAGACAACATGACATAAAAGCAAATGAGTGGGTTTAAAGAAGTGATTTAAAAGACATCATTGATTCTGCCTTCTCCCCTCAGGCAGATCGTTCCAAAGTCGAGGGGCCCTGATTTAAGCCTCAACTTTGGAACGGCCAGAAGGGCCCCACCTGAGGATCTAAGGCCGTGTGCTGGCTTGTACGGGGTTAACAATTCTGCTATGTAGCTTGAGGCTAGGCCCTGGCATGCTTTAACAGTGATCAGTAAAATCTTAAAATCAATTCTAAAGTGGACAGGGGGCAAAGGAAGGGATCCTTGGCTCCTTTAGTCCAAATGTTTAAGTGTCTTTGAGCAAGACCTTAACCCCTAATTGCTCTTGCCTTGTTTGGTAGTCCTGCCACCATCAGTTTGTGAATGTACGTGTAAGTGTTTTGTCCTACTACGGTTGAGAAGCCCTGCAAAAGTGCAGCCTATAGCTCATAAGACTGTAACAGAGATTTTACAAAAACATACATTTGCACTACATGTTAGGTTGTATCCTCATTTACAATTAGAAATAGTAACAAATCAACCTCGACATGTCTCATCCACAGAATTGGATGGCACACTCCGTGTTAGCATCCCTATGGAGATTCCTCTCCGTCCTCTCCTGGGAGGCAAGGTAGTGGTACCATGTTACTTCCAGGACAATACTGTCAATGACCCCGGAGCTCCAACCATCGCCCCGCTCTCTCACCGCATCAAATGGTCCTATGTCACCAAGGAGAAAGCCACCACCATCCTGGTGGCGTCAGAGGGAAAAGTTCAGGTGGAGACAGAGTATTTGGACAGAGTGACGATGGTCAACTACCCTCTGGTGCCCACTGATGCCACCCTGGAGATCACAGAGCTGAGGTCCAAAGATTCTGGCACCTACCGCTGCGAGGTGATGCATGGCATCGAAGATAACTACGACTCTGTGGACATCCAGGTTCAGGGTATGCTACAGAAAAATAATGTTGTTCAGTTTAGTTTACTACAAAATGAATCTACTAAGTTTTAATCACTGTTTGTCCAAACACCAAACCTTTAACATCTCCAAATAAACAAAAAAAAAAATCCAATGTGTTTTCTAGTCAAAGCCTTTCAATTTTACCCAATTCTGTAGTTTCCTTCAAACACAGGCTTTTTTTATGCACATGTACAATCCAATTTGTAATATTACACACCCATCAAGGAGGAAAATCTCTGTCAAAAAGATAATAAAGAAACCTTTGACCTTTGGAAAGTCCATCCAACCATTCAGCTGGCTGCAGATTTAACCTCTCACCTTTGGAAACGTACCTAGTTAGATTTTGGTTGAATACAAGCTGCAAAAGGCAAAGTTATCAGAGTGTTGGTAAAATATATCTCATGTCAGTTAGTTTGTCCTCTGATCACCCACATCTGTATCTCACAGGTATTGTGTTCCACTACCGAGCCATCTCCACTCGCTACACCCTGACGTTTGAGAAGGCCAAGGCTGCCTGTATCCAGAACAGTGCCACCATTGCCACTCCAGCCCAGCTCCAGGCCGCCTACGATGATGGATACCACCAGTGTGATGCCGGTTGGCTCTCTGATCAAACTGTGAGGTAGTTTTCATCCATCCAGCCGTCCAAGCTCTAAACTGCTTATTTATTCAGGGTCACTGTGGACAGATTTCCATCTAAAAAATAAACACTCGCAAATATAGAGTTTGCAGTTCACGAGACCAGCATGTTACTGGACCGTGGGCCAGAAACCAGAGCACCCAGAGAAAAGCCACATAGACACAAGAAGAACATGCAGTCTCCACACAGAAAGCGCCAGCTAATCTTCTTTGCTGTTGGATGAAAGTGCAAAACCAGCCACAGCATGAGATGTGGTCTGTGCACATCTGTAAGTCGTTTTTTATAGGTTACAGGTTGTTGTTTATGGAAAGTTAAAAACTGTCGGATACAGCGACACCAATTTGCAAGTGTGGGGGCACGAGGTCACAGACGCTGTTTGTCAATTTGCAACACAGTGTTAACACTATGTGTTATATTATTGGAGCAGTGTTATATTGTTGTGTCTGTCTTATTGAGTTTAATCTGTTTAGTTTGTGAATTTGTGAATTTTGTGTCTCTGTTAATGAAACCCAGCAGGACGTTCTGTGCTGATGAAGCTAATGGGGATCTTAATACATGAAATGAAACATACTGACCCCTTTAGTCTTAATGCTGTCGATTGTGTTTTGGTCACCTGATGGTTGAGCTGATGTGTCTTTTGTAACTCTGACATTTATTATATAAAACAAATAAATGTCTTTAAAACATACCAACAGTTCTGCACTAAAAAACACAGTAAACAAAATGCACTGTTGTTACAGACTTTCTATCTAAAAAACATCTCTCTCTTCTCTCAAGGTACCCCATCCATGAGCCCCGGGAGCGTTGCTATGGAGACAAGGAGAACTTCCCAGGTGTGAGAACTTATGGAGTGAGAGACGTCAACGAGACCTATGACGTGTACTGCTTTGCTGAGAAGATGTCAGGTACACTCGTCTAACCAGGCGACCTGAGCCACACAAACCCTCTACACTGTGCACACAACTCTTTCCTGTCATATAAATGTATGTTCATCTCCCTCCTCTCTCCTCCCAGGCAGAGTCTTCTACTCCATGTCTGCGCAGAAGTTTTCTTTCTATGAAGCAGGAGATCAGTGTGCCAAACTCGGCGCCCGGCTTGCCACCACCGGAGAACTGTACCTGGCCTGGAAGGCTGGATTGGATGTGTGTAACGCTGGCTGGCTGGGAGACAGAAGTGTGCGCTACCCTATTAACATTGCCAGGCCTCAGTGTGGAGGAGGGCTTCTGGGAGTGAGAACTGTCTACCTGTTCCCCAACCAGACAGGATACCCCTACCCAGACTCCCACTACGATGCTATCTGCTTCCAAGGTAAATCCTACAGGGAGGTTTTGTGATAAGATACCTCTTTGGTAATGTTTATTTTAGGGTGGATTTCTCCTTTAGTTGCTGACTAATAAAGTTATAACATGTGTCAATCATGCAATGTGGTTTCCTCAGCTGGCGAGGATGAAGATGTCGTGCCTGCGAGGACCACCCCTTTCCCTGACATCGTACGCATAACATCCGCCCCTGGGGTGTTCCCAGGACTCACCCCCTCACCTGGGGGTGAAGAGATCAGGGGTGGAGAAGTGGACACCCTCACCCCGCTGCCCGTCCCTCCCAGTGTGACAGACACATACACTAAAGTGACTCCTATTGTAGGAGAGCCTGGACTCGACCTGACAGACATAGATGCTGCCATGGCTCCCACGGGTAGGAAGTTGGTTATGTACTCGGTCGATAAGAAAATCCTTTGTTTCTTTTCACTATAAGAAAACATTTTAGAACAGTGCAATGAAAGGACACAACAGCAAAAGGAGGGTACAAGAACAACTAGCTCTGCCATTATATTAGCAACAGTATATTCTTTTGCAGGGGGTAGTCACTTTGGCATTTTTGCAGCATCCTGCCTTTTGGGAATAGGTTGGGTCATTGCAGTGTAGATTGATATAGATTGTAAATTTTGATCTCCTTTAAAAGAGCTTTTGGAATGGGACAGCCATGTTGAGTCATTCCAGTTACCTATTTGGAGATGGTTCACTGAAATAGGAAAAAAAGTAAATGTCATGAACTTGCTGGAATACTACCACTTCAACAAAATCCTCTCATGCATGCCTGCGGCCTCTCGGCCATTGCTGTCCTTGGCTAACCTGACGATGCATAACCATAGGGCAGCAAATAAATGACTTCAAGATGTTCAAACTGAATATATGACCACAACCTGCATCAGGAAAAATGCAAAATAAGGAAATAAAATCAGACTGAACCAAGTAGGTTTAGCAAAAAGAAAATGAATTACTATAGGACAAAACAAGACAACCCTTCTTCCTTCCCTCTTTCTCTTTTCCCAGGTGTGGTGTTCCACTACCGTCCCATCACTGGCCGGTACACCCTGACCTTTCTTGAGGCTCAACGCGCCTGCCTGAGCATTGGGGCAGTCATTGCTAGCCCCCAGCAGCTGCAGGCCGCCTTCGAGAAAGGCCTGCACCAATGTGACGCCGGCTGGCTCCGTGACCAGACAGTCAGGTGAGTCAGAGGAATGTGTAGGACAGACTGATCTATATATATGAAATGTTTAAAACTGCAGGAAATAATATCTAGGACACTGGCTGGAAATAGTTCATTTTGCATATCAAAGCTTATCTGCTAAGGGGTATACAGCAAAACAAAGCCTTAACACGCTGTACCATCATCCTCTCTCATGATCAGGTATCCAATCGTGTCACCCAGAGATAACTGTGCAGGTAATCTGCCATACCTTCCAGGAGTCAGGTCCTATGGCCTGAGGCCAGCCAGTGAACATTACGATGTATTTTGTTACGTGGAGCGTCTGCAAGGTGAGCAGCATAAACCCTCTCACACCACATTAATAGACTTTATACAGTGTGTACTGTCAACTTCTCATCAATCTGTGTACATATCTACTGTATCTGACCTGAGCTCTTGTGAATGCTGTTGAATGCTCATTCTCTCAGGTGAGGTCTTCTTCACCAGTGACTATGACAGCTTCTCCTATGAGGAGGCTGTGCAGCATTGTCAGAAACTGAACACCACCCTGGCCACCCCCGGGCAGCTGTACTCTGCCTGGAACCAAGGACTTGACAAGTGCCGTCCAGGTTGGCTGATGGACCGCAGTGTCCGCTACCCCATCACAACCCCCAGGTCCCACTGTGGAGGCGGTCAGGTGGGAGTTCACATCATCTACGCCTTCCCCAACCAGACAGGATTCCCTGATGTGCACTCACGCTACGATGCATACTGTTTCAAAGGTAGGAAAGGATCCATTTATATTCAGGATTTTAATGGAAAAAATAAAGTCACCTAAATCCCCAGCTACAACCTCAAGTGTCTAAGTAGATGTTACACATGTACAACACCTATTTGCCAACTTTAATTTTGATTCAGCATAAAAATGTGATTATCAATCACGGGTACAATAGGGGGTACGTCTGCAGTTGCCAGGGTGAAGATTGTAGACAAGCTCCACTACAAATTACAATTTGAACAATTTGAATTTGGACATTATTGTTGCAAAAACGAGCAAACATCAGCTAAAAGAAAAGTAATGTTTGAAACTTCTGTCACTCTGACTTGACCAAACAACCCAAACATTCAATTATGTGAAGAAATAATTTCAGCAGCATCCACTTTGTGTTAAATAACTTCTGTTTAAAATAAATTTTACATCATGAAAGGTGAAGCAACCACTGTTGTGACGCAATTTATAATCGAGTTTTCAAGATGATTTGATGGTGTGCATTGTTGTCATATTGATATTAACATATTATTGTATTATTCATAGAAACATTTGTTTTGCCATATCACTACATACAGTATACAGTTGGCTTCCCAGTACCTTTTGTCCTAAAAACTGTTTTAACTAATGTGTTATCTAATGTTGTCATTTTGTCATTTTGATTTTCAGCTGAAATCCCACTTGTTCATATTCAGAATAGAACCAGTGTGGATGTGACATTGCTGACTGTGGATGTTATCAATAAGACAACAGCGACAATTGATCACTTTGTTCCCCCTGGTAAGACAGAAATCTGTTCTGACTGACTGTGAAATGGCCAAAGTAGTTTCTTATTTAATAGTATCATTGATATCTCTATGCTTTACTGTAAATAGGGCAGTTTCCCAATCTACTAAATATCCATTTGCACTGTTAATTAAGTATGGACATCCTTGTCTGAAGTTTTACAACAATCGCATGTGGTTTTGTGCTTTGTTTTTAGTTGAACCTACTGTTGTCTACAATGAAACTGAAACCAGTGTAAATATTACTGAAATAGAGGTGTTTATCAACAAGACAACCATCACAACTCACCAAGTTTCTCCTCCTGGTAAGAAACACATGTATCAATGAAAACTGTTTACTTCTTTAAAAGTGTCCACAGTAACAAAATAATTCAGTACCACTTCCTAATAACACTATTTTAAAGCTGTTATAAGTTGCAATTCATGGCATTTTAATGAATCACTGACTAGATCAGTTATAGGGCATAAACAGTTTTTGGTTGCCAGGTTGTGAAAAACCCCTTTGATTGGTGGGACCATCTGACCACTTACGTTCTGGAAAATGATTTGTAATAAAATACATGCATTAACATCTTAGTAACACTTATAACTGCAGACTTGATGGAATAAAAATAGAGCCCGACCGATATTGGATTTTTGGGGCCGATGCCAATACTGATATTAGGGACAAAAAAAATTCCGATATCGATATATTGGCAGATATATAAAAACTTGTGAAAAAGATATGTAATGAAAGCAGGATATTTTACAGTTTAACAATAAATTTTATTGTCCAAAATGACATCAGTGCACTGAAACAGTAAACTTAAATAAAATAACTATAAACATAAATAACTATAAATAAAAAACATAAGAGCAAATATGTATATAGATTCTATATATATATTTAACTTGAATGAAAACAAAGGATCAAATATAGATAAAATGCTGCCTATATAACTTGACTTGACCTGGCCATTTCCACTGCATTATTGCTTCTTAATAAAAGTATTAATATCAGCACATATCAGAGAATATATGTGCAGATACCGATAAATCGGCCTCTAGAATAAAACCTTTTATTAATGGTGACTACACTCTATAAAGGAGTATAAAGGATACGTTATTTACTTAAATGCACTGTGTGTAATTTCTGACACAAAGGGTCTCGCAATTAAAATAATAACAAAACACGGTGTTTGGTGATATCCTGAAGGAGCATGGGATCATGGGAGTTGCTGTCTTCACCACCATTATCATCATTGCAGTCAGCTTCTCCCAGTTTGGATTCCTTCAGGGTCAATCATTTAGGAAGTTTTTATCAGGAGCAGAACCAGTCTCCTCCTCTAAACAGACCTGGTGATTAAATGCAGTAAAACCATATATTAAAGCAGTTTCACATAAAAAATCTATGTTTCTCTGATGCTGTTCAGCACACAAAACATTGGAGGTGCTGGGACCCAAGCTGCCAGTAACGTTTGCTCAGCTTGTTTCTCTGATAACTTGAGGTCCAGTTGTCCGATGACTAAAATCCTTCTTTCAATTACAGTACATAGTTGAAAACGACCAAGATCTACATCGAAGTGTATCATAAAGATGTAGAGATGTCAAACTGGATAAAAAATTGATGTTGAGCTTGTGGTAGACACTGACAATGCTAACACCAACAACCTATAAACCATTCATTAAAATGTGGTACCAATAATTCCAATCAAACTAAACCAAATATTTCACTTTGCTAAATGGAATTTGACAAAGTTCAGTATGTAATGTTTTTATGTTAACATTCTAAATGTTTCCCCCCACTTCAACACCAGTTCCTACTGATGTGTCAGGGTCTGGTTCAGCTGATCATTCAGCCAGCGGGGAGATCTCAGGAGAGTCTGGCACCTTCAGTGGTGACACCTCTGGTTCCAGTGCCAGTGGTGACGCCTCTGGTTTCAGTGCTAGTGGTGATGCCTCTGGTTCCAGTGCCAGTGGGGACGTCTCTGGTTCCAGTGCCAGTGGTGACGTCTCTGGTTCCAGTGCCAGTGGTGATGCCTCTGGTTCTGGACTGGAGATCACCTACAGTGGACACAAGGACATCTTCTCCGGAGACGGATCTGCCTCTGGAGCTCCCCAGGAGGCAGAAGGAGGAAGTACTGTCATCTTCGCATCTGGAGAACTGGGTAGTGCTTCTGGATCCGGAGAGGGGATTCATGGACAACAATCTGGCTTTGGGGTATCAGGATCAGGATCAGGTTTTACAAGTGCAAGTGGAGATATCAGTGGTAGTGGAGAATTCATGATCATCATGGTGGATGGAAAGATGGAGGAGGTGTCAAAAACCCACAGACAACCACATGAGCAGTTGTTTGGCAAGGAAGGCATTGAGATAATTGAATCAAGTACAAGCGGATCGGGAAGTATGTCTGGGTCAGGGTCAGGGTCAGGCTCTGGTGGATTTTCTGGCATCTCATTTGTCGACCACAGTGCCGTTGACATGACAGTTCAGCCATCTGGTGAGCAGGAGGTGTCTGGATACCGTCCTTTTGGATCAGGCTTCCACAGTGGCTTTCCCAGTGGTTTTCCATCCGGTGTGTCAGGCAGCGCCTCTGCCTCTGGAGACTCTTTCCAGCAACGTGGTGATGTCATCTTTGTAACAGACGATGAGATGATTCAGGTGACCGTACCGCCACTGGAACTCCACCCTCAGCAGGGCCGCGGGGTGGTGGAGATAAGCGGGGCAGGAAGTGGGTCAGGGATGCACCATGAATTCAGTGGAAGTTTGGAGCAAAGCTTGCATATCTCCGGAAGTGGAGCCCCTCATGAAGAACCAACAGTTGAGAGGCTGTCTGTCGCCCTGCCACCTGGATCTACCATGACTTACTCAGAGTACATCACCAGTCTTGGTCAATCAGGACTGGGGGATGAAGAACAGGAAGGTCGCACAATTGTTGTGACTCCAGACACAGCCTACACCAGCCCAACCACAGCACCATCAGTCTCACTAGCAACTCCTGCTGTTGTGGAGGAGCCTGAAGTAGCGGAAGGTACGTGGTTTGATGTTTACTATTCCTCTGATATCATTCTCTCTCATATACTTATGAAAAACTGGATGAACTGTGATTTTCTAAGTAAAGTCTCTTTCTATCTGCCGTCAGTCTCTGCAGACCCTTGTAATCCAAACCCCTGTGGTTCAGGATCCTGCTCTGTGCAGGGAGAGCTTGCTGTATGTCAGTGTCCCAACGGCTTCACTGGCGAAGACTGCTCAACACGTAAGTTACCAAACTACTACACACAGCACACTGTATTTCATGCTACAGAACTGCAAACCTAGAAAGAATTGGATTGCAATAAACTGTAGAAATTCCACTTTATAGCTATATTTGTGTTTTTGTCTAAGTGTGTTTTGATGTGTACATTTATGTGTGTAGCGGTGCAGGGCTGCTCTGAAGGCTGGGTGGAGTTCATGGGCAGCTGTTACCTTCACTTTGCGGAGAGATACACCTGGGCTGATGCTGAGCAGCGCTGTCAGGAGCTCAACGCTCACCTGGTCAGCATCAGCTCCCAGGAGGAGCAGAACTTTGTCAACTGTGAGTAGCTGCTTGATTGCCGATTAGTGATCTACAGTGTCAAACATTGATGACTGATTTTAATTCAGTTTTAGTCTTTTTGATGAAAATTTGTGTAAGTCAAATTTTAGTCAACACAACTGAAGAGATTTAAGTCTACTTTTAGCTAAATTTTAGACTAATTTTCTAATGCACTTTTAATTTTTTGTCTTCTAAGCATTTTGAGGCTTCAGCTGTCACCATCTTTGCTGTGTACAGGTAGCACAGTCACAGGTGTCGTTCTCAATGTTTACCTGCTTTAGAGATAGCAATAGTGACAGAGATACTGACAGGAGATGTGGGGATAGAGAGGGGCACGACATGCAACAAGATTCCCCCAGCTCTGAATCAAACAGTGGATGTTGCAATTATGTGGTATGCACTTTAAAGGAGCTATTTGTAAGTTTTGCTATTGCTACATAGCTAGCCTTAGCATTAGCAGCTGTTTACTTACCAGTCCAGAAGAAATGTTATGAATTCAATATCAGATTTCATTCCTTTACTCACCAAGAGCTGTCTCCGGTGGTGGAAAGCAATAGCAATGTTAACTCCACTATCATTTTTCTTCTACTAAAGTTAGCATGCTAACCAGCCAGCCCTGGACCATCTTGTCACTTTCCCATAGTGACTCACTGTAGCCTCCAATCTGCCCTGAAGACATAGCGCTACTCAGAGGGCGTATTACAACCTCTTGTCGATGGCCAAAGCTCTTGTCAAGTGAGAGAAAGCTCATTTAACCATTAGACCAGCAACATGCCTTCAGACTGACTCCTCTGTAAATCCTGTTATCATTTCTCAACAGTGCTAGTCTCTGTCATTTCTGCTCACCATTACCACAGCTACCTAGCATAACTTTCTATGATGCAACCATAGTTACTACTAACCCCCAGTGGCCCAACAGAAAATCAAAAATCACATGTGGTTTCACAGGCATTTAAGTGGTGTCAGCATAATTCATAGGGACAGCATGTTTAATTTGTTTCAAAGCTAAGATCCCTTTCTCTTTGTAATACAGCCAATGGTCAGGACTACCAGTGGATTGGACTTAATGACAAAGATGTGCAGAATGAGTTCCGCTGGACAGACAGAAGTCCTCTGGTGAGTTTGGTTGGAGATTGTTGGTCATAGTCTATTCAGCTGTGTACGCAAGAGGTCAACTTACTACTATTACTACCATTATTATCGCTGCTAAACCTAATGTTGCAGGTTCATTGCTCTTCTCTGCCTCTACAGATGCACTCACTGTAGAACTGCCACTTTTTTCTTCATACTGTAATTGTCTAATGAGTGCTTTCTGTTGAGTCTTATAATGTATAATGCTCCGCTCAGACCTTTGAGAACTGGAGGCCCAACCAGCCAGATAACTACTTCAACTCTGAGGAGGATTGTGTGGTGATGATTTGGCATGAGGGCGGACAGTGGAATGACGTACCCTGCAACTACCACCTTCCCTTCACCTGCAAGAGTGGACCAGGTAGGTTTACTGGATTAGTTTAGGCATCTGGTTCCAGAAGGAACATTCACTTCTGATGTGAAATGTACAGTTGGATTATTTAAAAAGTTAAGTTAAAAAAATGTAAAAAATGAATATTAAATCATGACACAAAAACAAAAATCTGTAAGTGGGACAAAAATGAACCAGCCACCTCCATCGAGACAAACTCTGTAACCACCAACAGTCACATGCGGCGCTCCCCCGGAGGTGGAACATGGCCGGCCGATGGGCAGCACCAGAGAGCGCTACCCCGTCAACTCCATAGTCCGCTACCAGTGTGATGCAGGCTACACACAGCGCCACCTGCCTGTCATACGCTGTATGCCAGATGGACAGTGGGAGGAGCCACAAGTGGAATGTACAGAAGGTGAGCTTGCAGAGAGATGGTGAAAAATCTATTTACAATCCATATTGTGATCATGTCTGTATCTTAAAACCACAGCATGCAGGTTTAAGTAAAAACAGCCAAAACAAATTAGGACCAGATACAATGATGGGAAATAATGAGACAATACCATAAACAAAAATTGATTGATTGATTGATTGATTGATTGATTGATTGATTGATTGATTGATTGATTGATTGATTGATAAGCATGGGTTACTGATGCCTGCGAAAGGTGCTGATAGTGAAGACAACCTAAATGAAGTTAAAAAAGTTAAAGAAAGAAGGAAACCTGCTGCTCACTGTGATCACCAGTGTGTGTCACAGTAAATGAATGAATGTAAACACAGTGTTTGCATGGTGAAGTCTCCTTCTTGATATTGAGACAAGGCAAAATAGAGGTGGCCTCAGTAATATAAATATTTTACATTAAGTAAGTGCTGTTTCTCTGTATCACAGAGCATGTGACACACACTGTGGGGAATACAATTGATGATGATGATGATGATGATAACAGGGGAAATGAGACTCTCAACTATAAATCAAAACCTGGTATTTAACTATGGCAAGACTCCTGTTACCCCTGTTCTTCAATGATACATTCTGCTTTATTGAACTTTATTTATTTATGACTTTGATAGAGAGTCAACAGTAGGGAGAGGAGGGGAACCACATGCAACAAAGGTCCCTGGTCAGACTCAGACCGGGGACATTGTAGTTCAGTATTGATGCCTGAAACCCTTAGGTTACCTGAGCCTAATGCTGGATTTAAACAGGGGTAATATTTTATACACAGAAAATACAGCCCCTGCAGAGCTAACATTTCAGCATCACACTGATGAAGAGCCTGTGGCAGCTCCTGAAATGGATCCTTTAGCCACGCCACTCACTTAAGGGTGATTTATAAGTCCTTTGGCCACTCATGTTTACATGATATCATCAGTATGCGTACCTTTTCTTCCCCAGCCGGCACCAACAGTAACAGGCTACACAAAAGATCCCTCAGGAGAAGAAGTAAAGGGGTGAGCAGCCAACAGGAACAGAGGAAGCTGCTCTGAGCAGGACTGAAAGGACATACAACAGAGAGCCACAAAGCACCCCTCTTGTAAAGAAGCATGGACACCAATGCAAATGCCCGACCAAAAAGATAACATTCCCTCTCATGTATATACACATACTAAAGCACATTTAGACAGTGATAGTGTAACTGACTGATGTTTCGGATGTTTGAGTGTCACTCTGCACCTTGTGAAGGCAGGTTTTCTACGTATTTATAGCGTCTAATTTATAGCTGTGATCCAGAATTATCTCGAATGCACAAGTTGACATTTTCTTCAATCGGTTGCCAGCACTGCACACAAAGCAAGGTCGATTAAAAACTGTCAAACAACAATAAGAGTGACACACAAAGTCCAAAACAGTCCAATAAGAGTGTTTTCGATTGCAGCTGGATTCTCTGAAGTCAAACACATTGTTACATAGACTTTTGCCATTTTTTAGGGTATTTTTCTAGATCTGTGTTTCGTAGCATTTTTTATTTCTTTTATTCAGTCTTAGACAACAACTGTGTGCTTCAGACTGGTGAAAAAAACTTACATTATAGGCCAGGACAATGATTCTCAAGCTTTTTGGTTGTGACTCCTTAAATAATTGCAATGAGTACATGTTAAATGTGGAGAGTGTTGAAGTTGGGTTTTGTTTTACTTGAATTATCAGAGGAGTCCTTGAGGCTTACAGTAATTCAGTGTTGCATAAAAGCCCAGATTTGAGCAAAAGCAGAGGAAAAATACATAAAAATATATTGGTGTTTAAAACTATTAATCATCTTTCAGGAAACCCACACTGTCCTGTCGCAACCCTCAGGTTTGAGAACCACTGTGAAACGACACCACCGCAGTATCAGACATACTGAATCGATTGTGCTGTTCCATTTGATGATGAATAGAAATCCAAGTTCAAGACTTGATTAAGTCACTGCAACAAACCTGGATTGAAATAGTCAGCACTCATGCACTTTTGGGAGTCTTCAGTCACGTCTGTGCTAATCATTTGAATCCAGTGCACCTTAAACAATAAAATTAATAATAATAATAACAAATGAATAAGTAAAAACAAAAATGAAAAAAAAATCCTCATCTGTAGCTGACACATGGCAAAGAAACTGTACTGAGTTAACAAGTGAAATCTACAGTATGACACTGAACTGGCTGGCCAGGAGGGGCCTCCGGGACGGTGCAAAACTCCACCTCATGAATGTCATTGAATGTTGCAAAAGATGCACATCCAGGTCTTCAGGTTGAGGTTTATATTTGTGATTTCTCATGAGTAATCAGTGACCTCTGTCAACACTGTCTGATGGGAGAATCCTGCTTTTTACGAGGCGGATGACATTTTTCTCACTGTAAGTATTCTCACTATTCTCTGGACAGCAGGATCTGTTAATAATTTAGCAGACAATTTAATTGTTTGAATAATTCATCATTGACCTGTTTTGTTGATTTGTTAGTTTAATTAACTGTTGAGTTGCAGTTATGAGTTTCCTATCAAATGGGCATGACTGATTTAACAGTCAGCTGTAGAGAAGAAGACACAACTGGGATTTTCTATTCGAGCCTTAGACATCTGTGTGGAGGTTTCTGGCTGTGTGTCATGTGACAGGGTCTTATCGACAGAGATGTACTTGAGAAATAAAAACACGATTGTATGGAAAAGAAGCTGTGAAAGCAGATGGATTTTTTTCAAATGATGACAAAGGAGATGGAGAAGGTTGAAGTGGAGGAGGAGGCTATAAAATGTTGACCATGACCCTTTAAGGTCAAGATTAGCTTCCACGCTGAGAGCAGATAATCTGACTTCTCACAGAACAACAACACAAACACTGAAACACATACACTCAAACTGGTCGCAAAATCTAGTAAACAGTTAGGAAAAAGTGAATGAGTGAGCTTGACAACGTCACAAAGATTGCTCAAGTAAATTAATTAATTAAAGTCAAATTGCTGTATTTTTCAGACAGAAAACACTTGAGTGATTATGTTGAGGACAATTGAAAATCAGTAAGCTCTATAAAAGTGAGGGTCTAAATCAGTATTTTTGATCGACTGATTCTTCAACAAACTGAAATATCTTTTAACAGATAAAACCAAAACATTTGTACCGTTGCACACAGACGTCACGTCTGCTGTGACTGTTCAGATCCCGAATCCTGATGTGAACATACAGTATACTTGTACTGTGCTGTGCCAAATAAAACTTGGAATCATCCATCTCTGTGAAATTATTGACTATCACTGTATTTGGTATTAACCAGTCACGCTGGGATCTCTGCATTATATGAAAATCACAGTTCTCTCAGTTTCTTTCCCTGCAGCAGTTAAATTTGAAGTGAACTCTCTGAGTCAAAGGAACAAACCTGACATTTAGTTTGTTTTTACCTTCCTGTGGAGCTCAACTGTGAAAAAACAAACAGTAAATAGCTCCTTCATCAGCCTCTACAGCGACTACCTTCATCACTACAGAGACTGCAAACAGATCTACAGTGTGCGTGTGTGTGAGGGAGAGAGAGAGGGAGAGTAGCCCTACATATGTGGTTGCATGTTTATATGCATCTATGTGGTGTGTTTGTGCAGTCACACTGTACATACCTCTGCATGAACCTGATGTGTGTGGCAGTGTGTGTAGGCATGTAAATCTATAAGTGTGTTTATGTATGTGTGTGTGTGTGTGTGTGTGTGTGTGTGTGTGTGTGTGTGTGTGTGTGTGTGTGTGTGTGTGTGTGTGTGTGTGTGCACTCATGTTGGGCCAGCAGGTGTAAATAGGATGTGTTTTTAAAAGCTGCTGGCCATATAATCACTGGCACTTCTGTTTGCAACCGGATGCAGGAGGGCGTAGCAACGTGTTTGACTCCACTCATTTAAAAGTGCATCATGTCCAGACAGAGTGGCGCGTGTTAGCTTTACATACAGTGGCTGTTTTGTGTGGGTCACTCACCCATCTCTCCTCTCTGCCCTGGTATTCCTGTTTGAACAGTGAGTGTAACTCTACGTGCCTGTGAGCGCAACATCCAGCAGAGGTTTACCTTCTGCAGCAATTCAGAAATTCATTGAATAAATCTGAGAAAATGTTTCAGGTCTCTGAACATTTAGCTAATAATCATTAATCAAGTTTTACCCATAACCCTTAGGATGGTAATGTCTGGGCTGCTCTGTCAACTCAACACATATTCCCAGAGTATCTCAGCACCAACATCTCTGATTTGCTCAGCTATTCAAATAAAATGTGAAAAAGTGAAACAAAAGTGCCAATTCATGCTGTGTTCATTTATTCACTCATCTGACAGTAGTTTGCTACGTAGTGAGCAGTAAATTAAGATTTCAGACACTAACTTATTTTCTCATTTTGCATCATCAGTAACAACAGTCATCTCATTCAGATACTCAGATGAAATGTTGGACACTAAATGTAATGCACTATCGAGCATGCTCAACATGTTGTGGAAAGTGGAAAGTACATTTACTTAAGTACTGTACTTCAGTACACTTTTTTACTACTTTTAACTCCACTGCACTTAGATAGCTGCACTTAGTTGGCAGATTAAGATTTTGCATGAAAGCATAAAAGCTTGAAGAGCTTTAAAGAGTAAACCAGTGGTTCCTATGTTTTTTGGCTGGGAACCCTTATAAAATAAAGTGTGTATTCCTCAAATTTCAGATTTTATAAATCATTAATACTATGTTTTATAATATACTCACCCACTCAACTAATGTTTCTGCAGTGTTGCAGGCTGGTATCTCACAGAGGCACTAGCATGCCCAGAATTTTAATCTTGTTTAGACTTACCTATACCTAAATCTATAGAAGTACAGTGTAACCTGTGTACATTTTAAAGGCCCATTGGGTGATGTTATGCAACAAACAAGCTACTGAGGGAATTTTGAAAACATAACTTCCAGCTGATGTGCCTGCAAATTGAAAGCCTGGCTCTGCATATCACAAATATGCTGTGAGGGTGTTCCTCCTGGGAGGTGCAGTTCTGACTCACCAATAGACACAAGACTGGACTCTGTTTCACCCATGCAGAGCACTGTCCTCTAGGCTTGTGGCGATAGTAGCCATCTGCGAGCCGTATTTGACAAGCTTTTTCATCTCTTGATGTAGGCAGCTCAGGTTTTATTTTATCTTATATTATGGATAAAAGCACGGATGGCAAACTTTCCAAACTGTTGAGTCAGATCCCTTGTGTGACATCAGTGCTGACCCTCCAATCTTATCCTACACACGTCCTTATCTAGCAACTAAAAGATTTCCAACAGTTGCACATTCTCACTCTAAAATGTTCTACATACAGACATAGAGGATTTTAAGGAAGTTGCTTGGAAATGTATAGTTTTTTTTTTAATCACCTAATTTCTTCTAATGAATGTATCTCATAAAAAAACATCTTTACAGTGGTGCTTTTATTCATTTGTAGAAAATAGCACAAATGCATGGACATATATAATGAAAAAAAGGTACATGTGTGTACTGAAACACTGCTTCTTCTTCCACAATGGATGTAAACAAGGTAGTTTAAATATTACAAAGATACAGAGAATCACTCATAACTTCTGCTCTCTCCATCACAGAGTACTACTCTTAATCACCCTTAAAACATGAAAAAGAGATGCATTATACTTTATAAAGTGAGATACACAAACATTTCAGGAGGTGAACAAAAACTTAACAGTATATTTCACAGTGTTGGAGAGACAGAAAGAGTCTGTGGTGGAAATTATCTACAGTTAGTGAGTGTGCAATCATGGACCAGTTAGAAAGATCTGACACAAAAATTAAGAGAAACACTCTCCACTCCCTCAACCATCAGGGTGCCCTTTAGCAAGGCACTTAACCCAAAAGTCTGTGGTTGTAGTATGAAGCAGAGATTGAATTTTTAAACATTTGTTATGGTTTGTCTGCTACGTTGTGGAGGGCACTCCTGGAAAAGACAATGTGAACATGTTGTCTGAATAAATACAGGGTGGGTAAAGGACTGAGGTCTGGCTGGAGAGCAGTGAATTATATTGATATGAAGAGGTTTTTTCCATCTGAATACCTTCCTCTAGTGTTACATGACTCATCTGTGAATTAAGGTCAGTGCTGGTGGTGGATCAAATCAAAGCCAATTTTCAAAACAGTTCCAAAAATTAAAACTTGATTTGATTTGTGAGTGGAATTTGCAGCCAGAATAAGGCAAAAAACAAACCATGTTTCTGCAGGCTGTTGATGTGGTTGTGACATTATACATTATATGGCCAATAGAGTGCTGCAAGAATGAGTCCTAAATACCAGAAAAATGTTCCTCTGGTTCCTTCATCCCATAGTCAATAGGTTTTTTGAATGGGATTGTGGTTAGATGACTGAAATAAGGTCTGTGGTTAACACAAGCTCAAGATGTTTCCAAGTTGTATTCTACTTCTATAAAATACCTCAGTAAATACCCCACTTGTGATATTTTTAAACTCGTTCGTGTCTTAACAAAGGCAGTTGTTAAGAATGGGCTAAATGATACTCCAGAGGTTAGATGTCATCATGCTGAACATGAAAAGTGATCAGCTCACCAGTCCACCTTTACAGCCTTGTCGTGTTTATACTCAAGCTTTTGCAAATAATTACTAACTTTGTAAAAGGAAAGGCTTTTACAGAAGTTTAGTGGTGGTGACGTTGAAGTCATGTGGTCTTGGTGTAGTTTGTTTATAGCCTTGAGATTAGATTGTATTAAGGCTTCATGAATCATAAAAGTGGTGTTCATTTGTTAAGATTATCTATCAGTATCATATTTTGTGTTTGTCACAGAGCTTATTTTCTGCAGTAATCCAAAAGCTTTTTGTTGAGGGAACCAGGGTGATGCTAAATTCCAGGTTGGCCTACAAAAATACTTCATGCCTGCAGCACTCCATAGTATGTGGACATCTCTGTCCATATACTTATATGTACTTTCAATTTGAGGATTGGGCCCATTAGATCAAATTAAGGGGAACCTCAATGCTGAAACAAAAATATATACTTTCCTGTTTCAACATGCCAATGCCTTGTACAAACCAAAGTCCTTAAAGTGATGTTTTTGCCAGTTTTCTTGTGGAAGGACTTGAATGGCCTGTACAAAGCCCTGACCTCAGTTCCCACTAACTCCTTTGGGATGAGCTAGAATATCTGTGAACCAGGCCTAAACACCCAACAATAGTGGCTGACCTCAATAATGCTTTTGTGGCTGAAGTGAGAAAATCCCTGCAGCCAGGATCCAAAATCTTGTAGAGAGCCTTCCCTGAAGAGTGGAGACTGTTATAGCAGCACATTAATGCCCTCTGGTTTTGAAATGAGAAGTTTAGCAATTATGTATGGATGTCATTTTGCAGTGTCCACATGCTTCTGGCCATATAGTAAGTGCAAAAACAGTTGTTGAATAGTATTACAGTTCAATACTGAGACATGAGTTACAGTCTTATGGAAGTGGAGATTGATTAACCCAAAAATAGCTCAGAAATGAACAAACTGGCTAACTGCTAATTTGCATCCAGGCTACAGCTAACGCTAACCCACTGAGCAGAGCTTTGGACCAGTGTGCTGTTAGAATGGTTTTGTTTTTGTCTCGTGTTGAGTCAGAGCATCTACCGATAACAGTAGACACCAAACTTTAGGTACAGAGGGGGGAAACCAAAACTACGCACCCCTGGTTCAGGCGGGCCACAGTTAACCCGGGCTTTTGTGATAGGATAACGCACACTTCCATCAGCCAACCAGCCAGCATCACAGCGGTCCAACCCCATCAGCCTCCAGGCGGCGTACAGCTGGCCTACTTTAGCAATTTGACTTCCATCACTGGCACAAGCCTGGACCGCCTCAGTGAAGTTTAACTTGGTCAGGTGCTTTAAAAAGTAGACAGTCCCTAAGGCAGGAGAGAATCATGAATTAAGACATTGTCATGCACTGATCAGGTTTAAAACATTCACACACACTCATATATACTGACCCTTGACAGAGGCGGAGAAGCAGAAAGCATCATAGCTGTGAAGGAGGCGATTTCGTTGCCCGTAGCTACGCAAACCAGCAGCTAAGTCCACACCCCCGCAGCCGTCACGTGGGACTGTGATTGGATACTGCACTGTGCCATCAGCCAACCAGCCAGCGTTACACCAGTCAAGCCCCTCCTCCCAGGCTGCGAAGAGCTGCTCAAACGTAGCCAGAGTGGCGTCCTGATCCTGACATGCTTGTTGGGCCCCAAAGAAGTTAAAATGGTAGCGTCCTTTCTGAGAGTAGTAGGGGAACACCACGCCTGTACATGGAGGAAAAGAGTTTGATGACAGTTGGTAGAGTCATACATTGCAATATAGTCCAATTCAGTCCCACCCCACCTGAAATGTATGCTGAATGATAAGAATATCATTGTCACTTCTTTTCACTTCTTTTTTGCACATGATGGAAGTCGTGTATGCATGCAGTAAATTAATATAAAGAATGATTGGGTACGGTAAATGGTCAAGTGATTTTTTGGCCACTTTCGTTGCAGCAGAAGAGAAGTTGTGAGCACATCAGCTCTTAAATGCTGCACTACGTTCACCAGCTAGTTGCTGGCTATGTCTGTCCATTTGGTGCTGAGCCTGGGCAGGTAACATACGCTGGGTTTATCGCTGAGTTTTTTATGCTGATGCTGGTGTTTGGTTTTGATGATGGAAATGCAGTTGATGTGGTGAGATTGAACAACACAGTAAATGCTAAATTCAAGCTAAAAGTGGGGGAAAAAATGCTAAGAAGCGCTGCAGAGCCCACTTATACTGTCCTTGGGGATCCTCACTTTCACATTGCATGTAGTCATTTAACTCTGTAAGAAAATAAATCATAGTGATTAATGCAGCTTTAAAGGAAAAACTACAGTAAATGAATGTTCAACCATTCTTCAGTTGTGGCCACACACCAATCATTGATACTCCAGGTATTTTCTATCACCTGTTTTGGCGTCAACCCAATTTGATTTAGTGTGGAATTACCAAATTTTAGAGGAATTTTCTAATGTCTATCTACTTGAAGGTACATTTGGTAGTTTCTGACGACCAGTAGTGCTAGAGAGTAATGTTTTTATGAGTGGGTCCTCGTTTGGTTCGTTTTCATGCATGCACACAAGGATGATGGGTTACATTCAGCAGGGGGTGGTAATGCAGCAATGCACCTGCAAAGGCAGGGAGGAAGACAGCTGGCGGGTAAACATGGATGGAACAATGCAGGTTTCAAAATAATACGCTTTTCAATCTTTTTATTAAAAAGTAATGTGTTAGGCTTCAGGGATCCCCACAATTTGTTTTGGTGAATACGCTCAATGTAACAAAAATTTTGTTAATGAGTATCTACTTTGTATATACTCCAGGAGGGGGCTGTTTCATCAGATCCCATCTTGAGCCAGTATTTGAAACTAAACTACAGCAGCAACACAAGACTTTTCAGTTGACATCTCTGACTTACAGCCTGTTTGATGACAGTAATTTCAAATTTAATTGCACAGAGACGGACTCATGAGTTGAGCGCCCTCAATTCCCAAACTACCCACTTCAACCTCATCAGTAGATAACCCTTCTTTCTCTCTCTCTCTCTCTCTCTCTCACACACACACACACACACACACACACACACACACACACACACACACACACACACACACACATACATACATAAACACACTTATTTCTTACCTCGCAGCTCCAGCTCCACCGTCACACTCTCGTCCTCCAGGCCGTCAATCACCTCACAGCGATATCTTCCTGTGTCATTGAGCTGCAGCTCATTGATCACTAGAGACATGTCGCCTGGTGCTGAGCGTCTCAGGCGCACACGGCCCCGGAAGTTGCCGTAGCTGCGGTGTCGGTTGCCCATGGCAACCATGACTTCAGTTTCCCTGGTGAAGGCTTCAGGGGAAGCAGGTGCAGTGATGGTGTTGGCAGGCAACCAGGACCATTTGACTCGGGTCCTGCGTGGCGTGGTGAGCTCGGGCTCGTAGTGGTAGTGACAGGGAAGGGTGACACTGCTCCCCCTGGTGGCCGACACCGAAGGCTCCGGGGATTCCACATGTAGACGAACCCCATTGAAATAGACTAGAAAAGGCACAAAGCACCAGAAATACAACATGTTTTAGTGAGTAGGATCCTTACTTTTTTCTCTATACTCTTTATAGTATTGGTGGGAACATTTACAATGTTGATTAAAGCAAAATCTCTAGTCTGTGCCTTTAATCTGTGCTGTGTGGAAAGGTAGTCCTAAACTGGTCGGGTAAAGTACTTACATGGGATGTGATTGGTGTATTGAGTCATAAAATTTATTTTATGGATTTATCTGCCTCAAAATTGACCTTTTTACAGCATAAAAATTTGAATTCTAATAGCAGGACAAGCTGTGAATATAATATCATTAATTATTATGATATTGTATTATTATAGTATATTATATTACCACCACTGTGCAGTGTATATTCAGCACACAGTACAGCATTGGGTCCATTTTTAGTCTCTCGCTCTCTTTTTTTCTATTATTCATATTTATTTCTCTACTTTATTCTGTCTGTTTAGTTATTGTACACAATTTAGCCTTTTATTTGTTTGTTTGTCAGCAGGATTACACAAAAAATACTGAATCAATCCAGGGAAGAACCCAATACATTTTGGTGCCCATCAGGTTAAAGGGGCAGATCCAGGAATTTTTTTCATCACTTTCCTTAACTTTCCTTTCAACACTCATACATAATAAATGGATCTTGATGTAAAAAAACAAACAAAAAAAAAACAAACAAAAAAAAAACTGAAATATTTATCATGTTGAGATTAGCTTTTGTCTTTGTTGCTGCATGAGTCCTGTTATTGTCAGCACCTCAGACAGTACTCTGGTGACGCTGTGCATTAAGAAATCCTTCTTTGTTGATAGACTTAAATATTTTATAGTTTTTTCTCCACAATGTCCCTGGATTTGTCTCATCCTTGTCACAATTATGATTTATTCCTCTACACTGAACTGTGGGACAACACTGAAAAAAATGTGACTCAAAAGTGCATTAAATCTGCATGCTGATGTTTGAGTTTTTCAAAACCCAGGTTGAATTGGCATGTAGAATGAAAATTGTCCTGACATGCTCAGAGAAAAGTTTGTTCAATCATAAACTATTCATTTATATTTAATTAATTTAAACTATGACAAAGTCCTTGAAGATCAACTCTACATTCCTCTAAACTATTTACATCAATGACCTTGTTAGTTTCACAGTAAAACAAATATTTCTGAGGTAATTGTTCATCTACAAAGTCTCAAACAATCTGTTTGGAGACACTGATATTTTATGTTTAAGGCAACATAAACATAAAATACACACTCACACTCACACATTGGGCCAACGGACACAGAAACCACATCAATCCCTGGCAGAGTTTGTGTTTATAACCCATTGACTGCCTGGAATCCATGAATTATCGCTGACTTCCCTCCACATCCAGGTGACTTCCAGCCAGCTGTGTTATCATGTACACAAATGATTCATGTAGCTTATGTGTGTCTCACGCACACACACAAACACAAAAACACATAGAGAGAGAGAGGACTTACTCTCTCCGTTGCCGTTGCCGTTGCTGATGTCCTGATAATGAAAGCCGTTGTTGTACCCGGGGATCCTGCCCTGACCGCCGGGCAGCTGCAGGTACAGGCAGACGGCCAGTAGGGGGCGCAGTAGACTGAGCATCACGCTGTCCTCTGCAAAAACAGTCCTCATTTTTTAGCTCCCTCTTTTCAAAACTGCCATAAATACCAGACTGACACTGTGAAATCACAGGAAGTGCCACAATTTAATTCCACCTCAAAACTGTTTGTCACACTGATTAAAAAAAAGATAATTAAAAGTAAAAATTAAGAATGAAGGGCTCAAGGGAGACACAACCTATGAAACAAGATTAATCACATTTCACAATAAAAAAAACAATCGAAATAGTTTATAGTTTCCCCCTTGAAAATTTGAATCTTAAGTGTAAATGTACATATAAACTACTTTTTAATGCATTTAAACCCCTTTAAGTCGAATAAAAATAATCTTTCTATAGCCAAAATCTATGAAAGATCTATGAAAACTGTGCATTGGGATGAATTATAATGCATTACAGGCTGTAGTAGATCGATTATATGAATTGTAGAAACTTTTCTCACACCTCAATCATTAGACAACGGTCGAAATGTACGTTTCATGTCTTTTCTTCAGTTACTCTCCTAGCAGTGTCCTATTTCCCTTTCTCTCCCTTATAAAGTATTCAACCCTTACATTTTTCAATGACGCAATGATTAAGATATCTGTCCAATGTCTGTCTGAATTCCCAGAGCTTTCTTTTTACCACCTGAATTATACCATGGCTGTAAAATTTAGCCGCACAGTCCGATTGAACATGAGATACGTTAACTCTCTCTGGTTCAAATCTGCCTTTTGAACGTCTGCTAGTGGGGAAAATGACTAAAGTGGTGAAAACAAAACAAAACAAAACAACCAAAAAACGGACTCACAGATAAGCACTTGTCCGCCCTGCGTGTCTTCAGTTCATCTCCTCCTCATCCTCTGCTGTGTCTCTGCTCACCGGACCGAAGGAGCGCGTGGCGACGTCACGAGACTAGGCATCCCCTTTGAAGTGAACGGAGCCCCGACAGTGACGCCATCATACACGAGCCCACAATATAGGCTAATCAGTGCCAGCACTAAAAAGCAATTGGCCGTAAACAACTGTCCACATCACTAATGCCTATAGGCTACGTACACTAACATGTAAAGGACAGGTTCACCGTTTTTAAAATCTGTCTTAAAACAATAGTCAAGTGCCCAACCGGACAATAGATCAGGATTTTCTTGCTGTAATCTCCCTCCTGTCCTCCTGTATATATCGGACAAACTAGTTGTTTCTATCTCCCTGGACAGTTATTTGTCCCCCATCACTTACACCAAGAGTGCATTAGGAAGAACAATTTTAATGCTCAGTACCAGATGAACAGGAGGAATCCTGCTTGTATGTTCATATGGGCACCTGACTAACTGACTGACTTGAAAATATAAAAAAAATAATAATAAAAAGAAATAAAATATTACTCTGACCAACTGCAAACACTACAGACATGAAAACTAATTATAAGCAAATACATTTCAGTAACAAATTAATCGATATTACTAGAACAGTCTAAAGAGGACAACGACGCTAATACAAATACCTGTACTAATGCCACATCACCCCATCTTGCACACAGATGCAACCTGATTGCTATTTGCATCACTGTTAAAAAATGAATGGGGGTCAGTTCAACCCATTTGATGGCTTTCTTGACCTCATCTCATCCCACTAAACATCTGGTCAACATCTTTCAACTTTCAACTGAAACAGGCACGTGTGGCTGCATTATAACAGATCACAAACATGCTCTAGTTTAATGTGAGTGTGTTGTTTTCACCAACAGTCATACTGTGACAAATTTTCAAGGTTTGTGTCCATTAAAAGGAAAATCCTCACTAACAGTTAACAATGCAGGTGTATTTTACAGACTTGTCTCTGGATGATGCAACCCAGCATGACCCGACTCTGACCCCCTGGTGTTGTAAAATATAAATGAGGGATACCATCCTAAAATACTTGCATTTGTCATTTAAGCTCCAGACATTTCATCTAAATCCATAAAATGTACAATCTCATCCATGTGATGAAAAAGTTGTACCGAAGAAATGCTACACATTTTATTAGCTTCATCAAATTTATGGCAGGTAATTTGCAAAACAATGCAAAGTGTGCAGGGGTATTCAGTCTCTTGTCTTTTTGCACAGCAGCACTGTCATGGGCTGCCAGCCTCTGTATTCCTGGTATGTAGAGGCTGACAGAGCATATTCCATGCCCCTGTTTTGCCATGGCCTCAAATAACACAGCAAATATTGCCACACCAACTCATATTTCAGTCATTAGCTGGAAAAAATAGCAGCCGTGGTGGAAAACAAGAGCAATTCCACTTCTCCGCTGGGGCCCCTGAGAATGTGCTGCTCCTGTGCCACCGCCCGAATATCTGAGTGATGGCTGGCTATTACAGTGCAGATGGAAGCTGCCCTCCTGACACTGGCACATAGTGAACCCTAAAGCTCTAATAGATATTATTGTCTGACACAACACTGCCATCCCTTGAAGAGCCACAGAGCACCAAATCCGCCAGTTAAAGAGTCTTGAACCTCTCTGAATCCTGCACGCGATGTCTTCCTCTGTGGCCAGCCCCTCTACAGCCACTGATGTTTTTCTAGCAACTTGACTGACACCCAGCCGACTTTGCAGAAACCCAAGACCACCACTATTTTAGCAGAGCGGGGGCGGGGTGGTGGTATGTTGGTGGGTTTGGGGATGTTGAGGAAAAAGCTGCTCTAAGTCTCAGAATGACAGTCAGGATGTTCAGGGTTTCATTGTTAAAAATCAAGCATGGTCATGGGTACAGGTTGATTATTCCATTTTCTTATTTACCACACACTGAACCCAGTGTCCAGTTAAGGTTGATGGGAATGTCATTAGTTTTGCAGGTGTTTATCATAAACCAAGTGCAGGACAAATTCAAATTTTGACCTGATGATAGCACAGATAATAGTTATTACAGTTTATCCTGAGGGGGTCACGAATAACTACCAAGTTTTATGACAGGCTATTCAATAGTTGTCAGGACAATTCACTTCAAGCAACAACCTCATAACAGCACTAAAGGAAAAGTCAGATGATCACCGCAGTCAGTTGGATTCATCAATTGGATTTATCCACTGGGGACTGTGATCTTTGCACCAAACTGGAGGCAATCCATTCAGTTGTTCTCATGACATCTCACTACAAAACAACAAAATGGTGCTACAGGAAAGAAAAGGACTCAAGTCAGTTTGCTTCATCCTCTCGAGATCATGAATGTCTGCAGAATTTCATCAATCCATCCAGCAGTTGTTTAGATAAGAACAGTCTGGATCAATGTGATGGACCGACCAACAGACCAACACTGCCATGCTCAGAGCCACGCAGCTATAGAAGCACAACCCTTCATCACAGCTGAACAGTTCTCTGACTTTCTCTTACAAAGGAATTTGAACCTCAGTTTGAGTTTATGTGACCTTGCAAACAGTCTGGCCACATCAATGTCACAGTCACAGCAAAAAAAAAAAAAAGGTGATAATCATCTGATGGCAGAAATCCCAGATTCTGATCACTACCAACTTCTCATCAGCTGTGGTTTGCCCAAAGCTGGACTCCACATGCCAGTTAACCCTCAGTGTCCATCATGTCCTGCTCCTTCTCCTTTCCATTCTTACCTTCTGCTCTTTGCATCCACAAACTCTCAACTACTTTCTGTTTATCCAGCACTGCTACTGCTACTACAAATACTTTTAGAGGGTGTAGAAATTCAGATGATGTGACGATTCATGTTACATTCACAGTATTGGACAGGGTCATGAAATGAAAACATGAAACATGAAAACATATTTTTTATATTTGTCACAAGAAGAGGTTAAAATGAATCAATCAATTAAACCATCTCTGGTTAAGGTTTTTCATATTTGCATCTTCACTCAACGTCACTGACACTGGACATCACGAGTCACAGCTTATTATTTTAGTAAACACTTCACTTTCACTCTGTTTTCTTCCTCCACCACTCTCATCACTTCCCTCCACTGTCCTCATTACCACTGAAAATATTTATGCGGGGTTCAAAAAAGGGCTCTCCTCCTCACCAGGGATTCACTTTTTAAACCCGTACACCAACAAAACTGAGAGCCATGCCAGCGGCTTTGTGAGGCTGATGATAACATTGTAACTTGCTCACAATAATACTAACATGCTGCTGTTTATATGTTTACCACATGCACCATCTTGGCTTAACATGTTAGCATGCTAGAATTAGCTAATTTGCACTAAACACTGGTGTTTGTCATAAACCAAAGAATTGGACAAATAAAATTTTAGACCTGATGATGGCGCTAGATGAAAAGTTGAAAGGCCACCAAAGTTGTTATACTTAATCTTGAAGGAAACATGAATGTTCGTATCTAATTCCATGGAAATCCGTCTGGTAGATGTTGAAATATTTCACATCAAAGTGGAGTTCACCAACGTCAGGAGGGTTCATCCTCTGTGGACCATGAATATCTGCACAAAATGTTAGGCCAATCCATCCAATAACTGTAGAGATATTCCAGTCTGTAACAAAGTGGTGGACTGACTGACTGGCTGACAGACAGTCATTGCCAACCACAGAGCCAGGCCACAAGCATGACTACAAAACTGCTTCAGTTGTGCTTCAAAGTTAAGATCCAAGCTCATTATGTAATAAAAAAAGTAAACTACAAATGTTTGGCTGTCTTCAAAAAGTGCTTACAAGACAGAATGCAGTCTACCATGCAACCAATCTTTGATTTATGAGTTTCAGTTAAGCAGTAAAGCAGTTTTAATTTCTAAATTTAATGAACTTCATAAAATGTTAAGAGGCGGTATGAGTTGTTATCAACAGTACAAGCTCCTAAAACCCTGAAGCCTCCCCTCAGTGTCTGTTAGCGGCTGCAGCCCCCGCTCTCAGCCAGTGTGACAGCCGTTTCCCCTCCCTGTGTGTCTCTAAGCCATTATCTCCCAGTGTGTTTGAAGAGACCAGATCAGTGCTCTTCCCAAAGCCTCAGATGAAAGGTTTTGGCCTGGGGCCCCAAATACCAGCAGCCCCTGTGAACTGCCTGGTGACTGTGGTGGTGGAGGGGTGTAATTTCTGCAATGCAGCAACATTCAGGAACCAGAAAGGTGAGCAGAGCTTGGACCTGGAGTCCAGAAGAGACAACATGAAAGAGGAAGAGATGACTGTGTGTGTTTGTGTTTGTGTGGTTTGAGTGACAAGCCAGGCAGTTGATCATGTCAGTATGTGCAGTCACACACTGTCATTAGCATAGACGCATCATAGAAAGGTGTGTGTGTGTGTGTGTGTGTGTGTGTGTGTGTGTGTGTGTGTGTGTGTGTGTGTGTGTGTGTGTGTGAGAGTGGGTTCAGTGTGACTGACCTGATTAGAGAGGAAGGCTTCAATAAAAGACCAACACCAGAGTGAACTGCAGGGCTCAGGGTGACGCTTTCCAACTTGATTAAAAGATACAGGCTAAAATGAGCTGTAATAACAAACAAACACTACAATTTCCCATCTTTTTGTAGCTCACTGACGTAAATTTAGCCCCAATTAAACATACAAAATGCCAAATAAGCGGTATAATTATGAACATCACCATGTAGAAGCCACTCATCACGTGTCAAACCAACAGTTTCAAAGATTTATTTGAGCAGAAATAAAAAGGTTTTCCTTTCTTTGTGATGACATCCCAGGGGATGTCGTCTGTGTTGGAACATACCTGATCTAAAATAGCAGTTGTTTTCAGGAGTGGATCCTTCCTCTTCAAACCCACCGCGGTGCCTCCAGCTTCCTGCCTGCTTTGGCTCGATGCCTCTGTCCGTCCCTGGCCAGCTGTCATACCAGGAAACCAAACAGAGAGAAGCCCGGCGCAGAGCTGATGGCGCTGCTGTCAGTTGGATTAAATTCCTCATATTTTCCAAGACAAATTTGGCTGGTATTATGCAATTTACACAGACATTTTTGTGTTTAATGACCCTGTTGATTTCTTGGTTTGTGTAACATCAACATCAACACCTCATACTTAGGTCATAAAGACCAAGACTGCAACTAATAGCTGTTTTTATTATTGATTAGTCGAGAAAGTAACTGGCAGATTAATCAATCAACTGTCCAGTCTAGAAAATGTAAAGAAAACTGAAAAAATGTCCTTCACTATTTCCCAGAACCCAAGTTGAAGTTTTCAAAATACTTGCTAACCAACTAACTTAACCAACAAAGATATTCAGTTTGTTATTAGTTATATATAAGACAAAGAAACACAGCTAATACTTTGATCTCAGAAGCTGGAACCAACAGTTTTTTTGCTTGAAAAATTACTGAAACGATTAATTGTCAAAATAGTTGCAAATTAATTTTCTTTTGATCAACTAATTGTTGGAGTGTCTGGTAATCTTAGTTAACAAGCACGAGTGCTTCATAAACACAATGTTTGTTTTGAAATTTGGATTACATTATAATGGGTATTTTCACATTTTGTAATAATTTCACATTCATTTGTCAAATGTTCATATTGAACGATCGTTTTCAGGTTTTAATCTGCAGTAGTTAGGATGAAGGGATGTGCCTGCTTCTTATAAAGTTCAATAAAATTAAAAAAAAATATTTTCCATGTAATAGAAATTTTAGAGGAAAATCATGATTCACTCCTAAAGATAATAGCTGATCATACCTCTAAAACCATTACATTCTTTCCACAAGGAGTGTTAATAATTGAAGTTATTACATTTAATTGAGTAAATTTAATTTCAATATTTAATAATATTTAGTCATAACATTTATTGGGTCAATCCAATGGTCTTACACATATGTTGATGGTAGAGGTACTAGAGAGATTTTTCAGATGATCTCATTTAAGGATGTAATTAATTATTTTAAGATAAAGGAAGCATCCAGGATTTGTAAAAGCAAAAATGACATACTGAAAAATTAGAACTGACACAAAGTGGGGATCCATCAATCAACTGTAGTTTAGAGGAGCAGTACACAGAAACAAAACAATCACCCCACCACTAAACACAAGATCTCTGAGGCTCATCTTCCTCAAATTGCCCAGGAGAACAACTGGGGGAAGACGTGAGGAGTTTTATTAAAAGGGGACAGAGGAGAAAGCTATCATTAGGCCGTGAACGCTACAACTGCCAGTGTCTCCACAGGAAAAACAGCTGGTTCATTGTGGATGGTGCTAACTAGACTAATATTATCTAACAACAGTTGTCTTACATGATAATTAGCTGGTATTTACTAATTGAGCACATCAAGTGATGTAATGAGGTGTAACAACAGCAATTTCCCCTAAATAAAAACACTCTACAGACAAAACACTCTTCAGACATTACTCCACTAAAATGATATGCTGAAAGGAAAGAGTTTAACCTTCACAGTGTCATTGTATGAATGTATTTTCATATGATTGTGCGGTTCAGACCTTGCGGAGGTATTTCTCCTCTTCAGTGTGACCTCCACAGACTGTAATGAGACCGAGGAGAGGACGTGCCCTCCTTGGGTGAAGATACCTTTCGAAGATTGTGTGCTGGTATAAAGAGAGATTAGGCCCCCGGGGTGTTTAAATGCTAAACAGGGAAAACGACCCTCAGTGCTTCTGGTCTTTTGATCTTCCGCCTTTTTAAATGGAAAACAGCTGAAATGAATTCAGCGTTATGATTAATAACATACCCTAAATATTCAACACAGAAGTGCAAACTATTGCTGTGCTATTTAAACCATTTAGAGTCAATTAAAAAAAATGTCTGTTCCGTGTTTTAAGTCTTTATTTATTCTTCATTTAAAGATACAAAGGCCAAACATAAAGGAATCCTCTTAGAAACACAATACTGGAATAAAAAAAGCTCCAAATCCAGTCAAAATTCTATGAGGTCAACAGTCAGTATAGCAAGAAACAAACTCATATAATACCATAAAAACACATCAATGTCATCAATTTATTTTGATCAATCATATAAAAGCTGAACAGCAGGAAACAAGAGAGCTAGAATAGTTTGAATGTTGATGAACATCTAGAAAAAAATGAAGCTATGCCACCAATAAGTTCAGATTGGTTCAACTTTAACTGAGCGACTCCGGTCAATATAAATGCATGCAGACGTGGATAACAAGGGTGACTGTTTCTGGAATCGTCTGCAACAATAATAAATATTGTACAGTGTTTGACACCAACGTCCGTCATCAACCTCTCAGTGGCACTGCTATCCCCTCATGCATTTTTAAGGATCTTGAATTAATATTCATTGTTATCAAAACTAACACAGTATAATATTGCACAAGCCCATTATTCATAATTCATGGGGCGGAAAGGTTTAGAATACTGTGACGGGGGCAGCAGAAGCGGATGATACGGCGAGTCGTGTCACATGTCCAGTGGAACCGTAAAAATCAGCTTTAATTTGGTTTCTCTCTTACAGTCTTATCAGTGGTGTCGCAGCTTTCAACTGGAGGCATAATGTTGGACCCTAAATAAATGGTCTGCAGCAAACATTAACATCTACTTATATGAACAGATTCCAGTACAAAGGTACTATGTACCATGTGCATGTCACATATTAACACTGAACAACCAAAGCAAGGGATTCCCCCTGACTTTTATAACTCAGTTTAGTCTAACAAAGAAACTGAACTGTGGAGTCTGTTTTCTTTTCTTTTTTTTCTCAACATGTAATAATGAATATGTTCACATATGTTTGATCTTCAATGCACAATACTGTTTTTGTTTTTTCTTTCTTTTTGGTTTTCAGATATTTCAAATATCAAGTCACAAACATCAAAGTGCCATAAAAAAGTAAAAGTGGGTGAACACAACTAGAAGCACAGCCGAGTGAGTGAGTGAGTGAGTGAGTGAGTGAGTGAGTGAGTGTAGTATTGTTTCAGTAGCATTTGCTGTACATTAGGAGCAGATCTGCTTTGACCTGAGACGTCCTTCATTCATTTTGAACTTGCAGTCTCTATACTGTTGTTAATCAATAAGTAATACATGCAATTCTCGAATGATTATTGATTTACTACCATCATTCTAGCAAAGCACTAGTGTTATGTATAATACACCTATAGTTATCCATCAGTTCAGTTTCGAAAAAATTTTTCATCCTGTCAGCAATGACAAATGGATTTTAAGCATCCAGCTCTGAAGTTGTTCTGAGAATCAAGACGAGAAAACAAAGCTTCCTTTGATAATCATTCCACTTCAAACAGCCTGTTAAACACGAAACTAATGAACTATAAATTGACCATGAAGGTGATTTGTTTAAAAATAAACCACTTCATGAAATTTGATACACATCTGCTGTAGCAGCCAACATATGAATCCTGTAGTAACTGTCACGTCAAAAAATTCTGTCCAAGGGGAAATAATTTTCTGAATGAATAATGTGAGACTGTTGTTTAAAATGTCCTTTTGGCTGAAGATGTCCCACCAGCTCTCAGCAGCAGCATGTGTAAATCTCAGTCAACAGCTATTGTTTGTTTGCTAAAGAGCAATAAAGTGTCTCTTTTCTCTTTCACTCAACAATGATCTTAAACTCTTTTTGTTCTTTGTTTATAACATCCTGTCTGTCAATGGTGGTGTCTCCTCTGGCTCTGAGATCACATCTGTTTGGCTGCTAAACTGACTGACTGATGGTTCATTGACCGATTATGTCCCACAGTGAGAGAGATTTATTGTATTTGATTCCTCTTTTGTTCTGTGTGGATCTGCATCAGTGCACAATACTATCTTTTTCTACATAAACCCACAGGAACAAAAATCTGAGGGTGTGTTGGCACAAAACTTCACCCTCATTTGGCCAAATGCAGCCACACGAGTTACATGTAACTTTGTGAAAGCTGGATGTTGATTTCACAAACAGGTTCAGTAAAAATAAGCATTTGTAGATAATGGGATGTTTGCACTTATGTTATTTGCTACTACACATATATGTGTTACCAAAGTGAATACTGTTAACCTTCAATGTTGCCCTCTTAAGCAGTTCAAGCAGAAAACACAAACTGCAGGGAAATACTGGGACTACTGTACCACACACAGGGATATCTTCAGATTTTCAGTTTGTTATTTTTTTCTTAACAAACACAACAACTGCCTCAACAAGAAAAATAATCAACCAAAAGCATTAATGTATCCTCTAAAGATGATATATTCTGTGTGTCCTGGGGGGAGATCGAGTGTGCGATTATAGGGCATGTGCAAGCTGTTAAATGGAGCTTATGTACATCACCAGGCGTGGGTCTTGGAGGTTCAACGTTCCAGGTAGAAGTGATCTGGGATCAGAGTCCAGGCAGCACCAACTGATACAGCAGCAGTATTGTTACCCCTGACCTCTGCCACAGGGATGAGGGATTCACCACCTTTGATTTAGCTGGTAGGTGGGATAAAAATCTGACCCCAGCTCTGCTTAGTAACAAAGAAGATATACTGCCACTTCTTGAAGTGATCACAGATTTGGTTCAGGTGGAAAAGATGAGTGATCAATTCAGGAAATGAAAACAAGAGAGGACACGTGATCTTAACTCAATCTAGTGACAGTGATTAGGGGTAACGTCTCCCACCTCCAACCAGCCAGGGTTGGAGTGGTGAGGTGCTACTCTGGTGTTTGCTGCCCTCTAGGGCTGAGAGCAAGGCAGTGCAGGTGTGGCTCAGGAGGGAGACGGGAAGGAAGGGAAGAGGAAGCAGGAAGGGGGGAGGAGGTAGAGAGGAGGAAGAGAGGGAGGCAGGTACCGGGCGGTGCTACTCGTCACAGCCCAGGAGCTCCATTCGCAGGGTGATGCGCTCGTGCCACTCCCATGGCAGGATGCGGACGTATCGGCCATAGAACGGCGGCTCAAAGATGTTCTTTTTGTGAACGTTGTTGTCACTGTTGCCTGGGAAGATCTGAACAGAGAACAGCAGCCGATCAAAACAACACAGATCATACATGCTCCAGATAACAGAAGACTTTTTATGCTGCTTGTTTCCTTAATGAATGTATTCTTGAATGAACGTATGTTCCTTAGCTAAATACTGGAAAATATAGTGTCAAGTTTTCTTGTTTCCTGTGCATGTCAGATGACTGACAATAAACAGAGTGGAACATCAAAACACTTTCTGGCGCTCCAGCACCATGACGTAAGGATAAAAACTCTTGTGGGACTTGTTTCCCACGTGACACTTTGAAAAGCAGAAACTCTCGCTGTTACCCGACTAAACACAGTCACCAGATAAAATCATGTAAAAGGAACCTTAGCAATTAGTACAACTTCATTAACAAATGCTGATATGATCCCATACAAGACAGATTCAAGACATAAACTGAACTTCTATCATAAATGTTACATGGACTAACTCAGAGCAAATAATGCCAATGTTCCACATCCTTGATTTATGACTTCATTGGGTTGTACTTATCGAACATCTGGCAGGTGGCTTTTTGGATTTGCATTATGAATGAATGCATACAGAAAACTAATCGGGCCCAGTGTCACCATGATTGGCTCCAGGTGTGTAAACTTCACAATCACTTCATCTCATACATTTTCCCTTAAGACCACATAAAGAAAACAACCATCTGCAAAAGCCTATATTTCTACTTTTTAGGCAAAATCAATCGAAATCAATGATTATTAATATAATTTCAATTAAGTACATATCTCTCATCTTATGCTGTATTTTTTTATCAGGTGTGTTTAATATGCAGTGATAATGCAGTATAAACTCATTTCTTTGTATGCACTGCAGCTACACTGTTATTTAATCAGGTGCCATTTTCTCTATTTGATATTTACGTTCTTCTTCATGCCCTGTGCCATAGTGTTGTGTTGTATTTCCCAAAGGGATCAATTCAGCTTCATCCTTTAAGTTTTTTGGCTCAATGTTTCTGGTAGCGGGACTGACCTTGTCGGTCTTAGTGGTCTCGTCCTTCACGATGGTCCAGGTCTGTCCATCATCGCTGTGAGCCACTTTAAAGGCCATGACGAACTGGATAGAGCCAAAGTCTTTGGCCCCCTGTGTGATGATTCCTGTGATCTTCTTGGGAGACTGGAGGTCCATCTGAGGAGACACAGACAGGTTTACTTTATAAAAGTAGAGTTGGGAAAACTCAAAAACAACATGCAGATCTGTCTTGTCTTCCTACCTGCAGCCACTCAGATCTGTTGTTGCTGGCGGCAGTCCAGGCGTTGGTCTTGCCCTGTTTGTCCAGCCGGGCGTAGTGAGGGTGCCAGGTGAAGGCCTCGATGCCCCAGGTGCGGAAGGTGCTGGAGGCCGTGATCTGGCGGTCAGACACCAGTCGGGACTTCATGCCCATCGGCTCTGAACAACCTGAAGTGTTTGAATACACTGTGGAGGTGAGACCAGGAAGAGGGACAGAGGAAGAGACAAAGAAAAAGAGGATGGAAAGAAAGAGAAAGAATGTATGATAGACAGGGGACGGACAGGAAGCGGCCCAGGCCAGCCAGTGATATGAAGCAGCAAACAGACACCCAGAGATGATGATGGTGGAGGATGAGTTTAGCAGATACAGTGGGCACACACATGGCATCCAGGTGAACATGCAGCCATAAACGTGCAGCTTAAGGTTTAGCTGAGTTAAAGAGTGCACTCAACTCTTTGTTGATCACAGCCACATTATTAAGTTACACTGTGACCCTTCACAATTTTGCAGTTTACTGTATTCTCACACTCTCTCATAAATTCAATAGAAAAAGACTCCTGAAGTAGAAACAAACTTGTGAAGCTCATTGTTTAGTCTATAAAGGCTGTAAAAGACTTTTTAATGAGTGTGGCTTAGTGAAGCAGCTGAGCATGCAGGTCAGAGGAACAGAGGGTGAAAGCTGCAAAACTTCAGCTGTACTGTTGCTGTCTGGCATCAATGCAACATCCGTTCTCATTTTCATTACATCATTTTGATTTGATCACTTGATTCCACTACATTGAGTGAATCAAGTGAGTTTGTTAATACTGACCTAAAACCTCCAAGAAACAAACTGTCTCTCCAAAAATTCATAATGAGCATTTAAGCAAATGTACTTTTAGCTGTGAAAACTTGTTTCTCTGTGTTTAAAAACAACCAAAACTCATTCAAACAACACATGCTGGTTATGATCTCAGACTGACAGGTGACAAGCTACAAATATGAGTTTTGCAGTCAGTTGCAGCACAAACTGGGAAGCACAGCTGACAAAAGAAAAGACATTGATCTTATAAATGAGACAACCATCAAGAGAGATGGACATTCAACAGTGTAATGTGGCCACATTGGTTTATGATAAAAGGAACAGCAAAATGAACAGACATTTGTTGCAATACAGAAAAGAACATGTATTTTGTTTGCTCGCTGAGGTGACAAAAAAGTCTCTGAATCATTAGCATCTGTGTGGGCGTGCTGGTTTTATAGTAAAATGTGATCATATGGTTTTGATGAGAGATTTAGGGATCATCTTGGAATAGACTCATGAGACAGTCTGCATCTGTGTTCAAAGTCAAAGAGTAGTGACATCCTCTGAGTAACATCCTTTGAAATATGATCAGTCACTGAGTGTAGGACTGAAAATAATTAGTGAGGAAACATAAGAGGTAAATGCAGGGAAAAATATGTTATTTCCCTTCCTGGTGATAATTTTTACCACCTGCTGTTTGGATAACTTGAAATGCCTGTTTCAGTCTCTAACAAACATCACTAAACTGAATGCGGCTCGTGTATGTTGTGTTATCTTTTCTGTGTAGGTTTACCATTGAGCTCGCAGCCCACCAGCTCCATGCGCAGGGTGCAGGCCTTGCGACACACCACAGGGACAATGCGGATGTACTGGGCAATGATTGGAGGGTCAAACAAGTTGGTCTTGGTGCCATCATTGTCCACGTTTCCCACAAATACCTACAAAAGAGGGAGGGGTTAGCAAACCTAATCAAGTGTACTGTTATTGATTTGTTATTTTATAACTGATGATTGATATCATTCGTAGCATCCTTTTATCTAATTTATGATGTATTCCAAACACATTGTCATAACTGTAAACTATAGGATGAATTAAACACTCTTTGAAGGAAGTTTATGTCAAACATCAAACATATACTTAAATCCTATTTTCATAAAAGTGTATAAAATAAAGTAAACAAAATTGTTTTACAAGTGGTGTAGTTAGCAAAGTTATGTCAGTTTATTTGTGTAGAGAAGTCACTGCTCCCTCTAGTGGTTAATTTCTGTCTTAAGAAAATATGATGTTGTGGTTTGTGTGTTGACATCAATGTGTTTTGACTGCCACATATTTCAATATGTCAAAGGGGACAAAAAAAGCTGTTTCAAACACAGTTGTAGGCTGTGGTGCTTTGTGTTGTGCTGCAGTGTGCTGATGTGTCTCCTCACTTGGTCCTTTCTCTGCCCGTCTGTTCTGTACATGGTGTACGTCTTGCCGTCCAGACTGGAGGCCACTTTGAAGGCCTTAATGAACTCAGCTGTTCCCATGCGACTGGCGCCTTGAGTCACAATACCTGTGAAACGCATTTTCCTCTGCATGTTGATCTGGAATTATGGAAAGAGACCATGCATGAGTTAAGTAAGTTTCTTTTAAAACAGAACTTCTATCTAAAAGTTCAACTGAAATTTTAAGTGTTATGAAATCAATGCAGGTAAATATCAATAACATAAAGGTAAAATGGAGAAACATCCCCATCTAACATCTATCAGTCTTCATGTCTACTATCAATCTACTTAATTAATTTTGTACTTATCTGATGTAGCACTGATCTCACCTCTATCCATGGGTTCCTGTCATGTGCAGCAGCACTCCAGGCATTCACCAGTCCCTTGTTGTTAAGGCGGGAGAGCTCAGGTCCCCAACGCTGCAGGCCCAGCAGGCTGTAGCGGACTGATGAGGCCGAGATCTGGGACTCAGCGATGCCCCCTCCTTCCAAACCAAGCAGAGAAATACAGCCTGTGGAGGAGTAGGTTGCGGCGGGAGGGGGGGGGGGGGGGGGGGGGGGGCCTCAGACGTCAGTACGAGATTTCCCATTGTGGTTTATGTGCAAGTAGTCACATTTCTAGTTACCTGCATAATTTTGAACTCAAACTGAAATTCTGCTAATGTGTATGAATTCAGACTGACTGTAGAGAAGAATGGTGAGTGCCTAATGTGTAGAACAGATACTCAAGACAGAGGAATGTCTGTGTATATGTTCACATACTCAGAGATGTAATCAAGGTCTAACATACATTCACTCAAATCTCTTGTCTGTGCTAAACCTTTACTGAGCTATGTAAACCATGAAATCATTAAGAATGCAGTGCTCTGAATCAGCTTTATTGAATAAAGTATTGATTCTTCATTTGGGCCCAAGCTCTTGCTGCCTATTGATCATCCTAAAATGCAGCAGCTTGGCTGCTTTCCCAACCCCATCATCTTTAGTGTCTTCCTTCCTTCTTCCTACACCAGCAATAGCACACCATTTCATTTATTCAATTTTCTTTCCTGAGGGGATCAAAAGTCTCATTTCCCATTCAAGTAAATGGTAAAGTCGTCTCAGACTTTTGGAGCCCACTGTATATACACCATCATGAGTACAAGCAGTTTTACATCTCCAATCTCAAAAAGCCAAATGGATTTGTTATGTTTTTTTAGCCTTCTGGCCCGCATGTGAGAGCATGTTATGGTGGAGTGCTGGACCGTTACACTTACGCAGTTGGCAGTGTTTGCCCACATAAGGGGAAGGGCAGTGGCATTTGAAATCTCCATCCAGGTCCCTGCAGGTGCCACCATTCTCACATGGCTGGCCGGCACAGTCATTTACGTCTGCAGAGAGATAAACCACATCATGACTTGATGTAGTCAAACATAAACAGCTTACTGGTCAACTTTAATCAGCCAGTCTGGAAGCAGATACCAGTTAGAAGTGTGAGTGATCACATGTCATGCTTAAGAATTAGGTTTTGATATATCTTGAACTGAGGTTAGTTGAAGCCATGCCAACAGGACCTACAGCAGAGAGAAGGCTGGAGACAGGAGACTGTTACTTATTATTGGACAGTCATTGGAGCCTTGATCAAGATGTCTGCTATCAAAGAACCAGGAGATCAAGAGGTCAGGATGTAAAGTATATAATTGAAAGATCCCAGAAGTAAATGTGTTTAGCTGGGTGTGTCTTCATGATACATGCTAGTTTAAAGAAGAATTGAGTATCATTAAGGAACATTTAAGTGCAATGCCTATTTAATGTCCTTGTAATTCTTTGTATTTCCTCTTGATGGCACCCAACACTATCTGTCCAGGGCCAGGCCTGTGTGAGATGAGTCAGGGAGGAAAACGAATCAGCAGAATGAAACGGGAATAAACTCAAACTCCTTTTCATCCCTCACTGTCAGTATGACTAAACCCACTTTGAACATACTCTATATTGACCACATACACCAGGAACAAGTTTCATATGTAGCTTGTTGTGCAGATGACTGCATAGCAAAAGGGGAATTTCAGTCAATCTCTGACGCTTTAGGCACGCCGATGTGATTTTTCTACCCAACAAACACACACATGGCAGAATCTCCCTACCCACATGCTCGCTCCATAAATAGCTGTGTCCAAACATTCATTTTCACACAGACACAGGAGGAGTACAGTAATTCTGGAATGTGCTTCCACAAAATCTGGATAATGAGGTCCCCAGTCGTGACACATCTGGCTCTGGGAGCTCACTAAATTACTTAAAATAGACTATTTCTAGCAGCAACAGCAGTTGAATATTTTAAACACAAAGCTCTCTACACTTTGTAAATAAGCTCTTTGATCAATTTACTGTTGTGGCACATTTCATAGCAGCTACCTCTGTCTGTATCCAGATACGCTGATGTATTCACCTGAGCATCTTTTTCTTTTTTACTGGGAGAATGTATATAAAGCTCATTTACGGCTATATGCACAATAAGGAGACAGGAAGTAAAATACAAGGCCATTATAAACTACAAAAAAGAATGAATATATGGTATCTATTTGGATAGGCCGACTGGTATTAAATGGTGTTAGCTGTTTTAAGAAGATGGATAAAAAACATTCATCATTCATTTGCTGTTTGGAGGATAAAAACTCTGGTATGAAGAGTTTATAAACCATCCCTAAATTCAGACTTCCAGGTGAGTTAAAAGGCTAACTGGGAAAAATGGTGCTCTATAAATCATACTCCATAAATTATGTCACAACAGCCAACCGTGTGTTTTAAACCTTGTAGCACACAGACCAGTATCTGAGAATGTCACACCCATGAGCCAGAGACCTGTATCAGTAATTGATGACAGACTGATGGAAACTCTGGTCAAGTCCTGTTGTGCGTCAGCTGGTGACCCTCTCTCCAGTAAGAGGATTGGGCATCAGAATGACCATACAGTCTGGTCAGCCTCAGGTCAGACTCTAATCCATTTATCTGAAGGGGGGGGCACGCAGTATCTCTGAGACAGGTAGAGGAACAGGTGGGTGCACTAACACTGCAAAAGCTTGTCAGTTGTTTACCACTCGGGCTCTGCATGCCTGACATGTACACACTCTGCTTAACTGTAACCATGACAGACGTACAGAGACGATTCAGGGTAAAGACTTTGTAACTAAAATGTCAACCAAGAAAAACAACGCTGACATCTAATTAGCTGTTACATGTGTAGCAGTATCTGCTATCAGCACACTGTTTGCATACACATATAGATTTTGTTTGGCAGAGCATGTGCATGGCCTGTGTCCAATACACCCTATTGCTCGTAACAGAAACAGCACACTAGCAGAATATTTAGAGTGTCAATATCTGTCTCAGCATGAAGCGAAAGCCAATACAAATCTCATGCGGCTTATTTGAAACCAGACCCTGATCAATGCAAAGCCAAGGTCAACTGGAAGCGCATGTAGCGATCATCAAAGCTATCTCCATCCAGGATCTGTGCTGCAGCCAGCAGGATCCAGGCCTTAATAAAGGTATGAGTCTGTGTCTGTTGGCCCAAACCTGTTGTTGTATTGCTGAAAAAGAAGAGTAGATGAAGTCTTGCAATATGCTATATTCTCCAAACCTCACAGCCTGAGGCCTTAGTACATATGGTACCCAAACTGAGTTTTGAAAGAAAACCTTCTGTGATTTTTATGGTACGACAATGACACTTTCCCACAAAGTCAAAGTGCAGAAACTGTGTCAGGAGAGAAACTAAGAAAAGTTAGTTAAGAAAATTTAAAAAACATTTTTAACCTTTCAACTTTTAGACTCAAAGTTTTCAGTACGACTGTTGCACAGTAGCAAAGTCTTTTTTTCCAACTAATGACAACATGAAATGAGCAAATTACATATTTTTAATCATCACTTCCACAGTTGCCATGGTACGACAACCAAGGGGGGTGCTCTATAGGCATTATGGTCAGCAGACAAAGCCACAATGGCATTATTAAATGGAAAAAAAGACTGAAAGGTTTCCAGATGTGTAATTTGCTGTGCACTGTGGACTGGACTAACTGAAGTACAGAACGGAGCACCACAGCAGGACCCAGAATAGCTTTAAATCGGATCTCTGCCAGGGTGTCACTCTTTGCTGGAGGGATGCAGAGCTCTGAGTTGAAACTTTTGATGTCATAAAGTATATTTACAGGGAATATTATTTAAAGCCATGTTTCTAAGCCCTCACTGTGAACAGATCAAGACATGGCGACATCAGATCCTGTGCACTGGTAAATGAGAGCTGTGGTACTTGAAGGTGCAATATCTGTCTATCTAAATTATTGAATTTCTGCAGTTTGAACTTCATAGTTTTAATGTAAGTTAATTTAACTTTCTTTAACTCAGTGTATATTTGTTTAATTTACTTGTATATAATATGGATTTTTATTTTCATCTCTTTTTCTTTAAAAAAGATCTTAGAAAGTGTCATCAAACTGGCAAAGTCATGTCCTTGTGGCTTGGATGAGTAAAAGAGAGTCTTGGAAGTTAAGAACATTGGAATCCCCCTTTCTGAAAAACCACATTATGGTAACATATTTACACAAATGTGGTTATTGTAGTTTCTGGAGGATCTCAAGCTAAGCCCTCAACTCCCAACTGCATAGTGTGGTCAAAAGAAGAGGAGTTAGGGATGTGAATACACAGTACTTACTTCAGGAGTGAATACCAGAATTATCATGAAAAAGAGCATACTTGATTTACTATTTTTGAATAATCTCTTATGTTCATAATTTTCTAGAGAGCTTGAACTTCACAACTCAGCATTAACCAGGTCTGGAAGTCCTTAAAACTTTCTACAGGAAGATTCCTCCTAATTAAAAGGAAATACATGACAAGTCTTAATGATTACCAGTTTATCATCAAATATCCCTTTTATTTACACCAAAATACTCTTTCTGTGGCTGTCTAACTGTTAAAAAAGCACCTTCTGTGGTTAATTGAGATTGAAGACCTTATTAGTCTGTTGCTGTTCACCAGTGAAGGTCAGCCTCTCCAGTCAAAACAGTTAACAGCTGCTTCTGTTACTTAAGATTATGTGATTCAAGGTAAGCTGATCTAATGGGCCAATCTAGCTGTTTAATGCAGACAACAGTAAACCAGGAAATGCACGCCAGGCTTAGTCAGATCCATGACAAACATGTATATGTGATATATATACACACTCCCTGTACTCCACAGGGGGCATGGAGCCCAGTCTGCCCACACTACCACATCCTGGGAGGAGCTGAAAACTCAACAGAAAGCTGCACACTTATACACACACCCTCTGGCGACTTCAAAGAAGCAAATAACTGCCTTAATCTGTTATGAAAATCTGGGATTTAGAGGCTGCAAGCAAGAAAAAGACTCCTTCCCTCACTGTGTCCACCCATCTGCTCACTTTCCTGCATCTCCATACCCCCAACTCCCTTCCCACACACACACATACATACATACATACATACACACACTCCTCCTCAGCAACCCATAAAGGCTTTTAGGCCAATTTGACAGGACAGTCAGAACTGCTGCAGTCAGATCTGAGTAGTGAGTGTGACATTGTCAGGAGGGCAGACTTAATTCATCGTTCCGCCTCCACGTTCACTTTTTCGCCTGGCAACAGTAGCAGCACTGACGTTGCGAGCGCTCAGTGCGGAACGCCACTTTCTGTTGGCTACACTGGCATGAGGGATAAACATTGTGTGTATGTGTATGCTAAACAGTCTGTATATGAGATCATGAGCTGTGTGTGGTTGTTGTTTATGTGGGATGTGCAGCAAACACGTGATTAAGCTTTTAAGCCAGTATAGCTTTTTGCTCCCTTGATCAGTTTCTCAGAGGAATTTTAGTCCCTTAAGTGGAAATATGAAATAATACATTTAAACAACATATTGATAAAAAAAACAACAACATATCTGTTCTTCTTGTTTTTGACTTCTGTCTGATAACAGAGTAAACCTGAAAGGAGAGGGTGGTGCTATTT